AAAAAAACGACCATGTATAGTCAGGCGTTTTTTTGCTGAAAAAAACGACCATGTATAGTAAGTCGTTTTTCGCCCAAAAAACGAACATGTATAGTCTGGCGTTTTTTTGCCGAAAAAAACGACCATGCATAGTAAGACGTTTTTTGGCCGAAAAAAACGACCATGTATAGTCGGGCGTGTTTCACCCAAAAAAACGACCATGTATAGTAAGGCGTTTTTTTGCCGAAAAAAAAACGACCATGTATAGTAAGGCGTTTTTAGCCGAAAAAAACGACCATGTATAGTCTGGCGTTTTTTTGCCGAAAAAAACGACAATGTAAAGTCTGGCGTTTTTTTGCCGAAAAAAACGACCATGCAAAGCATTTTTTGGCCGAAAAAAACGACCATGCATAGTAAGGCGTTTTTTGGCCGAAAATAACGACCATGCATTGTAAGGCGTTTTTTGGCCGAAAAAAACGACCATGCATAGTATGCCGTTTTAACCCGAAAAAACGACCATGTATGGTATGCCATTTTTGGCCGAAAAAAAACGACAATGTATAGTAAGGCGTATTTAGCCGAAAAAAACGACCATGTATAGTATGCCGTTTTTAGGCGAAAAAAACGACCATGTATAGTATGCCGTTTTTGGCCGAAAAAAACGACCATGTATTGTAAGGCGTTTTTAGCTGAAACGACCATGTGTTTATATAGTAAGGCGTTTTTCACCCAAAAAAACGACCATGTATGGTAAGGCGTTTTGTTGTCGAAAAAAACGACCATGTATAGTCAGGCGTTTTTCGCCCCAAAAAACGACCATGTGTTTATATAGTAAGGCGTTTTTCACCCAAAAAAACGACCATGTATGGTAAGGCGTTTTGTTGTCGAAAAAAACGACCATGTATAGTCAGGCGTTTTTCGCCCCAAAAAACGACCATGTGTTTATATAGTAAGGCGTTTTTCACCCAAAAAAACGACCATGTATGGTAAGGCGTTTTGTTGTCGAAAAAAACGACCATGTATAGTCAGGCGTTTTTCGCCCCAAAAAACGACCATGTGTTTATATAGTAAGGCGTTTTTCACCCAAAAAAACGACCATGTATGGTAAGGCGTTTTGTTGTCGAAAAAAACGACCATGTATAGTCAGGCGTTTTTCGCCCCAAAAAACGACCATGTGTTTATATAGTAAGGCGTTTTTCACCCAAAAAAACGACCATGTATGGTAAGGCGTTTTGTTGTCGAAAAAAACGACCATGTATAGTCAGGCGTTTTTCGCCCCAAAAAACGACCATGTGTTTATATAGTAAGGCGTTTTTCACCCAAAAAAACGACCATGTATGGTAAGGCGTTTTGTTGTCGAAAAAAACGACCATGTATAGTCAGGCGTTTTTCGCCCCAAAAAACGACCATGTGTTTATATAGTAAGGCGTTTTTCACCCAAAAAAACGACCATGTATGGTAAGGCGTTTTGTTGTCGAAAAAAACGACCATGTATAGTCAGGCGTTTTTCGCCCCAAAAAACGACCATGTGTTTATATAGTAAGGCGTTTTTCACCCAAAAAAACGACCATGTATGGTAAGGCGTTTTGTTGTCGAAAAAAACGACCATGTATAGTCAGGCGTTTTTCGCCCCAAAAAACGACCATGTGTTTATATAGTAAGGCGTTTTTCACCCAAAAAAACGACCATGTATGGTAAGGCGTTTTGTTGTCGAAAAAAACGACCATGTATAGTCAGGCGTTTTTCGCCCCAAAAAACGACCATGTGTTTATATAGTAAGGCGTTTTTCACCCAAAAAAACGACCATGTATGGTAAGGCGTTTTGTTGTCGAAAAAAACGACCATGTATAGTCAGGCGTTTTTCGCCCCAAAAAACGACCATGTGTTTATATAGTAAGGCGTTTTTCACCCAAAAAAACGACCATGTATGGTAAGGCGTTTTGTTGTCGAAAAAAACGACCATGTATAGTCAGGCGTTTTTCGCCCCAAAAAACGACCATGTGTTTATATAGTAAGGCGTTTTTCACCCAAAAAAACGACCATGTATGGTAAGGCGTTTTTTTGCCGAAAAAAAGGACCATGTATATAGTAAGGCGTTTTTGCGAAAAAAAACGACCATGTATACTAAGGCATTTTTTGCCGAAAAAAAACGACCATGTATCGTAAGTAAAGTACTACTTTTGTCTATGCGAAAGTTCAACTTATTTCCGTGGCATCCCAAACAGCTGTAAAACACTCGTTTTTGTCCTTAACCAACTTCAACATTGTTCCCTGGCTCCCAAAATAGCGGCAAAGTGGTGTTTTGTTGCTGTGGCCCAAGCACCAAAACTAAATAGGCACATTTGCCAATGCCGAACTGTAAATATGCAGGGGTCACTATCTTGTCTTCTGTACTACTGCAGTGTGAGTACTTTTGCTTCACTTAACAATCAGCACTGCAAATCGTTGAGTTAAATCCACTTGTTGGGATTATAGCTAGATTTATTCACAGTAATATTTTAAATCCATAAAAAATATTGAAAACACATGTAAAAATAGTTGAGACACACGGCGATTGCTTTTGTTTCCAGACGTTTGAGGTCATGAACATCAACAGTCTCGGAAAGCTTCTGGTCCATGGTGAAGAAATAAAAAAACAAAAACAAAATGGCATCCAGAGCTGGAAACGCTGTTCGGTTTTTGAGTCCAGCACATGAGCTTTGTTGGGCTGCAAGCTGCACCATCTGTCAATGTCCTGTGTCCAAGTCTCTCATGTACTCCTGCAAGGCCTGCAGCCTGGCGTCTATCTCTGACAGTTCTGCGCCTGTGTCGATAGAGCTCTCTGAGTAGTGGAGCGTGACAGCAGAAAAAAAAATGCACACACATGAATACAGTCACCCTCATTATAAATACTGCATACATTACACTGGAGAATGCACATTTTGGAGAAACCCCATGTGAATTGCTGAAGAGCTCACTATATACTATCGGGTCTGAATTTTGGGACTATTTTGTAGTTGGATTGGTTTGAATCAGTTGAGAAATGTGGAAGGAGAGGCATATTCTTCAGCTTTCACGCTCACAGACAAATTACCTTTGCCCTTCATCCTGTATGTTGGAGTGCTGCTTAAGGGGTTCCGGGCTATCAGGCTTCCTCTGGACTGTAAAGAGTTACAGGCTTGTTACATATTTAAGAAATTTAATGTCGCTACGGCCATGAAGAGAAATGAAGGACACCTCACTCACCGCACTGGGTCCATTGAACGTCTGTTTCCTTCCTCTGTGAAGTGTAAGCACGTGAGATGAGAACGTGCGGGGGTGGACGGTTCACACTTGACTCACATTGAGAAAGTTCACCTGAGCAGCGCTTTGGTCATTTCCTCCATATCCACTAAGGAGCTCTCGGAGGAGTTCCTGCTCCCTTGCCGCTCTCTGGACAAACTCCTTCCTCGGCTGCCGGCGCGGCTCAACTGAGGACAAGCCTCTCTGGAGCGGGAACGCCCTCGTTCGGGGACCAATGATGGCGATATCATTAAGTCTCGCCGCACCTTTAACTGTCTGACACGCACGAGATGGTAATGACAAATAATGCTCATTTTTAAACCACTTGCTGTCAATTGCAGAGTTTGGAGGGAGACTTACTTTTTCAGTTCAGATTCTCTTAGCCGGCGCTGTTTGTCCTGGATGTAAGCGGTTGGGTCAAAGCGAGGTGCTCGGGACCCTGGAAGGAAGTAAAGAAAGAAGGAAGTACATTTTATTACAGAAATATGACAAGTTGAATTGATAAAGCCATGGATTTTTTTGTTGTGTTATTGCTGTAATCTGATTTATGACTAATTTAAGTTTATACCACATTTTGTGAAGTTGTTTTAGTGAACGCTTAAAGGACAGCAAGTCAAAGTGTTTAGTATGTTAACAACTGTAATTGTAGTAGATGAATCCATCCATCCATCCATTTTCTGATCCGCTTCATCCTCACAATGGTCGCGGGGGTGCTGGAGCCAAATCCCAGCTGTCTTCGGGCAGTAGGCGGGGGACACTTTGAACCGGTTGCCAGCCAATCGCGGGGCACACAGAGACGAACAACCACCCACGCTCACACCTAGGGACAATTTAGAGTGTTCCATTAACCTGCCATGCATGTTTTTGGAATGTGGGAGGAAACCGGAGCACCCAGAGAAAACCCACGCAGGCCCAGGGAGAACATGCAAACTCCACACAGGGAGGCCAGAGCTGGAATTGAACGCGGTACCTCTGCACAGTGAGGTCAACGCGCTAACCACTCGCCCACCGGGCCGCCTTAGTAGATGAATATACCGTCATGTTAATTCATGGTTAATTTGCCTTTATTTTAGCATAAACCTAAACTATGGGGCCAAAAACATTTCTGTATAATAAATTTGATATTTATTTTTAGACAGATTTGTGTATTGCCTGTTAGTAAAAGAATACAAGCAAAGAGGACCTTGAAATAAAACAAAGTATTGAGGGGAAAAAATTGCAATTATCTTATTTTTCAATATTGTTCAGCCGTAACCTACCTTATATAAAATCCACGTTTTCAGTGATGACATATCACACTGACTACTTTGTTACAGAGAGTAAAGTACACACCGGTGGGAGAAGGTGACTGCCTTCGTACGACGGCGCGCGGCCCCGTTGAGTCTGATCTTCTCCCTCTTTCCGTTGACCTTTGTGCTCTGTCGCCTCTGCGCTCTCTGGATCCTGAGCGACCCCTGGCTGGGTTGTGCGAACGATAGATCCCCCCACAGGCAGACAGGGGCGTCCCTCTACTTCGGATACAAGGTGAGTGGGGAAGATTTACCTGATTTAACATCGATCAGAAATACTCTACAAAATCAACACTGTATAAAAGAATCCAACAGCAATTTCTAGAAGTGTCTAACCTTCGGCGTAAGAGTGCAAGTTCATTGGTCAGACTCTTGACATGCAGGCGGAGGGCGCACTCCGAGGCCCTCAGCTCATCCAGCTTGAAGGATGGGAGGGAAAGCGTTAAAAGCGTGACAGAAAACTAACGACTCCAACTCTGAGGGCGTCCACAAGCGCTCCAACCTGCTCCATCAGGAGTCGCTGCTCCTGGCATCGTTTGCTAGCTGAGCGCTGACTTTTGGCCCTCTCCTTGAGCAGCTGTTCCTGCAAGGTCCTCACCACGTCCCGATCCCGCCAGTCTTGAGGTCCGCCGGGTGTCGAAACGCTTCCGCCGAGCTGCAGTCGCTCCAGGACCTTGGCAATGGCCTCTTTCTCCTCCTTCATTAGAGCCAGCCTTGAGAGATCAGAATATTCGCGGTGTCACATGGCCTCGCGCGCGTCATTTCTGCCCAACAGCTGGAGACTTTCTGTGGGGAATTTCGCTGAGGAGTTTTGGAAATTTCCATCAGGGAGACAATGGGAAACAATTTTTTTCAAAAAAAAAAATGTTTTCAACATCAGTTTACTAGTTAATATTCCCCTTTTATACTGTTGGGCCAGTAACCATGACCCTGAAAAAAAAAACATTTAAAAAATTAAAAAATTTTAATATACCACATCTATGCTCGCAAAACAGTTTAACTTAATTTCAAATTCATCTGACAATATTAACCTTAAAAAAAAAAGACTTAATGTTTTGATTTAAAAATAAAATGCAGCCGAGCTCCTCCGCAACATACAAAGCTTGTGTCTCAATCCAGAAGTATCACTTCAACATACTTCCTTGGACCAATGAGTGGACTGTTTTCCTCCATAAACAGGCTCAAAGGTTGCATACAAAAATAAACAATAGGTGTGAATGAATTGGATATAGCATCTCAGTATGATGCAGTGCAGTTCTGCATAACTGTTACCAAACTGCAATAATCCCCCTCCCCCCCTCCCATTTTTCCAATTTCATAACCCACAACGACAAAGAGCACTTTGGCTTACTCTGCTCGTAAGCGGTGGATTTCAAGCTCCGCAGACTTGCCGACGCCCTGAGAGGTGAGCGCGCTTAGCTCCGCCCGAAGGCTCCTGATTTCCTTCTGCAAGGCGGCTGGGTCGGGCTTGCCCACGTACGGCAGCGGCAACGGGTAGTGTATCCTACAGAAGGGGAGGACACAAGTCAGCAGTGCGCTCGACATAAAAGAAAAGGGAAACAAATAAGCAAAGGCATGCCAACCTGTCAAACTCCACAGTGTAGATGAGAATAAGGTAGCGTTTGGCGGTGAGGGCGGACGACTGCGGATGGCCTCGAGGGCGACCGACTACTCCCGCTTTCCTGTTCCGCAGAAGCTCGAGGTCTGCGTAGGTCAGCAAGTCGAGTGTGACGGAATCACTCGTCTGCAGGAAATGCGTCCAAAAACAAACGAGACACACGTGTTAATAACAATGCCCTCCTCAGATAAGCCAGTGTGGCTAAGTTGCGGACATGTACCTATCCATCCATTTACTATAGTCCTTGCTCATGTAGACAAAACAATATACCGGTAATTACAAATCCAACAACAATCACTTTGGCATCCAAGATGTTGTTCTGTTTGCACGGTTACTACAGTCAATGGATGCCTTGGCATCCAAGATGTTCTGTTTGCACGGTTACTACAGTCAATGGATGCATGACAGGACATCCAAGTGTGTGCTGCTTGTGTTTTGATAGACGTCACTCCACTTGAGGTGGATAACTTCAATGTACCCAAAATTCCTTCATTTTCATCACCCACCCCAGTCTCCCCTGATCTTCTCGCCTAGAGAGAAGGAACAAGATAGCATGGACATTTTCTAATTTTTGGCTCCAGTGGAAAGCAAAACGAATGCTTGTCCGCTTCGGCTCATGCAGCCCGAAGCGTCTTCCTGTCCGTTCGCATCCTTCTATTGACTCGCGTGCTTGCGAGCAACCTACAATTTTTTAATTTTTTTTTTTAGTGTTCTGTTTGCCGACGTACCTTTCTGACGGCAGACTCCAACATGCTACAAAATATTGGAAACTGTTTGAAGTTGCCTGTTTTCCGTGTGAGATCTTCAATGTCTGGAAAAATGGGGAGAATGCAACGTGAGCAACGTGACTTAAACATGCACGCGTCATCGTTGAATGACAACTGACAACTCACATGCCGGATCAAATTCTCCCTTCCACTGATCTGCCGTTTTTGAATCAGATATTTCCACCAGCAGTACGCCCTTATCCACTTCTACCTTCACTGCAAATTCTGCTCCTCGGAAGACAATGTTCTCCATCACCTCCGAGCCCTCCTCCATTTCTCAGTCTGTCAAAGGAAAAAGCAATTCAGTGTCCCCAGGATATACAGTAACTGCAATCAAATACTGATAACGAAAATCTGATACAAAGAGTCCACAGCGGGTAATTGAATGCATCGATTTCAAATCAAATAAAAATGAAAGCAACTGGAAACTCAGGAAATTGTTTTTAAACATGTACATTATTAGAGGGTAAAGGGTAAGTCGATAAGGAAAACAGACACAAGAAATAAGACACAACAGAGTAGCACTAGCATATATTTCAATTTTGGCATTAAAATTCATACGTAATACACTGAGCTGTTGCGGAATTTGCCTAAAAATGCTTTACCTCAAATGAAAACAATTCCTGAGACCAAACTAAAAACATTTATGAAATAGTTTGTGGAAATGGGTGGATTTGTGTTCCTTTTACCGTGCAAATAAAAAGCAATGAACGCACAGATGGATATATGCTCTAACTGCAGTAAAAATGAAAGGACACAGTCCATTCATACCCATTTCTAATCATCGGAATCGCTCCCCATCATATTTTTCTGATTATTCCAGCATACAAATCGCACAAATGGGGGAGTGACCAAAATAAAAACTCACCACATTTTGTTAGCTTTTGTTTTTAAAACTGTCTTTTCTTTTCGCTTACTTGTTCGCCTCACCTGATTGAAGTTTTTGTTACAATATCAATGAATAAATAGCAATCGCCGAACATACGTAAAATTTGTGACTTGCCTCAAGAAAGGTCGGGCATCACTTTACTGCTTGAGCAGCTGGAGGGCAGGCGATGCTGCTTTTACCACAACACGCGACTAGGGGCGCTTGTGTGTCACATCTGTGTGTGTGTTTTTTTTAATGAGAAAAGTTGCTGCAAAATCAAAGCGTATCAGGAGCGGTCTTTAAATTATGCAAAAACAACGGCGGAAACAACATATTTTCGGCTGTGACGTGTGAATGTGTTCCCATGTGGTCAGTACAAAACACGTAGTTCCCATCGGCGCTTGTCATCACTTTCTCCCACAGTGAAAGGGAAATAAATCAATGACACTGCTCGTTTTTACCGTCGTTACCATCCATGCAAATCGCATACAAGTCAATTAGCTTGCTTAACTAATGCGATGCCACGCCGTTGTTCCATTTTGGGACCGGTCGCTTGAGCAAATCACAGCGGGTCCCTTCAGATCGCTTGACATCTCACCATCGCTAGCTTTAGCAAGCTAGCACTCGTGTTCCGACAACAACAACAAGGCAAGCATCCCGTGCAGCTTTGCAAAGTGACATTAGAAGTCAAACATGTCAGCTTATAATTGCAGAAAACACTGCCGCAAGACACAACGAACAAACCTTTGGTTCCAGCGATGAGTCTTGAAGTCACTGATCGCCAGTAAACAGCTAATTTTGGGGAAGCAACATGATGTGCTGACTGGATAAAGTCGTTAAGTGGCATTTAAATCCGTTTTCTTTGTACTTTGCACGGGGGGTCTAAAAGCAATTGTCAGTCATCTAAAGGAGGACCTAAGGCGCTTCAACTACCGGGAAACGTTCAATTCTTCTTCTTCTGCTGTTTCATTCGCTGGGGATGCGGCCTCTTCTTTGGTTTCATGTTAGGATCCCCGGCTCGTTGCTGCCCTCTACAGGTGTGTCTGTGTCATCGTCATCACCAGGCAAGACGCTCACTTTAGATTCACACAAATTTTATTACAGTAATACACTCTGCAAACTCCACACAGGAAGGCCGGAGCTGGATCGAACCCTGCACCTCTGCACTGTGAGGCCGATGTGTTAACCAGTTGTCCACCGGCCCTAATTGACGAATATGTAGGGTTTATAGGATTTTGACGCCAAAATGTCCTTCGATTCTGGAATTATAATTAACAACAACAACAATAAAGTAAAACTGATAATTGCAAGCAGCACACTAGAAAATAGATAAATATTTGCTGAAGGCTTGCAGCTGCTGGTCAAGGTCAGGAGTTGGCTTGCACGTTGCCGCGTAGTCGATGTGAAGGGCCGGTTTCCATTGAGATGTTGTTAAACGCTGAGGAGAAGTCTCAAGTCACTGCGGTGTGAGAGCTGGAGATGCAGTGAAATACAAGTGTGTGTGCAAAAGAATGATTTCCCGTTCAGAATCGCAAGCACTGCATCATGTGGCCCCTTTTTCCTTTAACCTGCGGAAAAAGAAAAAAATCAGCTGCGACTACTAGTACTTGGACATGCAGGTTTGAAAATGAAAAAAAAAAACACTGCATGAAGGTTAAAATGTCTCAGCAGTTGTAATTGAAATCCATTAATAAAGCAACAAATATTTAAGCGCATAATACATTCATGTATTTGGATTTAACACTGCATTTCAGCAACAAATCAAACATGTATTTAACATATGCATTACACTCAACAGCCACAACATTAGGTAGACGTGCAGAATTAATAAGGTCCAATACTAGAGTTGTATCAAAATAATAATAATAATCATAATGATAACCGTCCTTTACAAAGATAAAATTGTCCAGTTTTTATGTCACAGAGCTTTTCATGAACAATGTTTTTATTATTGGAGTTTGCAGTTGAACAGAAAAGGGCTGCAAAATGCAGAATACAGCATTCATACTTCACACAAGATTTTTGCCACTCGGATATAGGAAACATAATTTTGGAAAAACCTCCGTTTCTAATTCTACATGATATTAGTAAGTACTCTCACACTAAATCCTGCACTTTTTTGTAGCTTTAAAAAAATGTGTCTATTTACATAGATTTTTTTTCCTCAAAGGAACATGACTGGATCATCATTGGCGACTGCAATATTGTGCGTGAGCGGTATGAGGTCCGCACCTGCCTACAGCGGCCACTCAGCCATCAGAGGGTCGCCCGAAGAAAGCCTCGCCCTTAGCTGCACTTCCATGCAAGATTAAAGGGGGAGCCTGACTACAAACACCACCGCACAACGTGCAGCAACAACAAAAAGCCATCAGAGGTTCCATAAACGGAAGTGCACCGAGGATGCATCTTATACAGACATAAGTCTTGGGACACATTTCTTGTCTGATTCATTTACAAATCAAGGTTTTTGCTACTGAGACGCTGCTTTGCGGGGACAACCTGGCAAAGGCCCCCTTATGTAGGTCCATAAATAAATCTTGGTGTAGATAGACTTAAAAAAAAGAACCTGACCGAAACCCCATCAAAAACTTCCATCTTCCAGATGAGTGCAAGCTGCTCATGTATCAACAAAATCAAAACATCAGCGGCCTTGTGGAGTAGACATATATTTTTAGGATTTATTTTTATATTTGATGGACACGACCAACCAGGGCTTGAACACAGATGGTGTGGGCGGGGGGAAAAAAATGATATCGGTGTGAGACTGATGAAGCATCATTGCGTCTGTGCAAAAAAAAAAAAAAAAAAACTGAAGAGGCTTCCTCTGGCTGGTCATGATTCAACAGATGCACAGCAGCCGTGCTCAGGGAGAGGCACTCTGCTGTCAGTCTGACCAGGTATGACTGATTTTATTAGTAGCATCAAGGATTTTTTTATTTTCTTAACTGTAATATCCATGTTCGAATATACCTGTATTTACAATTTGGATCGGTGAATGTTTTACGCTAAATATGAACTGGCTGACAAGCATAACCAACACACGGTATGATTTTATCATGTATTTTTTTTAATCTAAATTAATATATGCATAGCAAGTTATTGTCTGGATAAATGTTTGTCATGCTAATTTGATACATAAAGAGGGAACATCAAATGCATTCACTTTTGTGACTTAACTCCGTACTTCTCTGCAAATATCCAATCTGGCTTTGGGATTGTTTTTGTTGATGAGTGGTTTGCATCTTGAGGTATGGCACGTATATTTCTTCTCTCCAAGTATTTATTGATGAAGTAGCTCACGACAGTCGCAGCAGGATGATTTCGGAAGTCTGCAAAACCATTTCGTCTGGCAATGTATAGAAAAATGCATCCATTCTAATCAGGAGAAGCTTCATCATGCATCGAGATCATGACCCCCAAACACACTATTCAGCGCTTGTGTAGTTGCAGTGCACAATACGTACGTGTGTGTGTGTTGTTTGCAGTTACCGTGGCCGTCATGGCTCAGAGGAAGTCTGCCGGCTGCCGCCCCAAAGCGCCCATCAACCAAGACAACGCCCGTTTCTTCCTTCTCGCTGGCCTCATTCTTCTCTACCTGCTGTGCGGGGCCGCCATCTTCTCTGCCCTGGAGCACCCCTATGAGCTCCGTGCCCGCCGCCTGTGGAGACAGCAGCTCGATAACTTCACCCGGCGGTACGGCGTCCACCCGAGGGCCCTGCACACCCTGTTGCGGCAGTACGAGGAGGCCAATGGAGCCGGGATACGAGTGGACACGTTGAGGCCCCGCTGGGACTTTTCTGGAGCTTTTTACTTTGTTGGTACAGTGGTCTCCACTATCGGTAAGCTTTCCAAACGTTTGTGCGCTGGAAATTTTGGATGTCATTTTTTTTAATCAATCAGTCAGTTTCCTGTTTCTGTCAGGTGAGTCCACCCTGGACTTAGAGTGAAATCTGGGTCTGTTAAGTTGAACATAAAGCTGACTTCACTTCTGTGGGCAACTTATTTCATTTGTGTGCAGTCTCACGGTTAAATGCCACTTCACCATGTTTGCTTTGAAAGCTGAGCTTCCCTAATTGACCCAAGTTTTTTGGCAGAGGGGGGGTTGGAATGGATTAATGGCATTTTAATGGGGAAAATGACTTGAGTCAAGAACACATATCTGGAGGCACCACTGTAATCTTTTTCTCCCATGAATATGTGTCTGGATCTCATTTGTAATGAAAAGACCCTGAGTTGAATGTGGTTGCAAAAAAATGCCAGCAAATTCCAAAGAAAAAGCAAAACAAGGTTTATGGTTTTATGGCATTGCTGGACTGACATCTTGTGAGATATGCTGATACCTTGAAAGCTGTCAGTCATAGCAAACATATTGATGGGATTCCGAATTGTTCAGTCTCAAGTTCCCCTCATGCTTTACTTGCAACCTCACCTAATTTTTTTTCTTTGGTCTCCAGGATTTGGAATGACCACCCCAGCAACCATAGCCGGAAAGATCTTCTTAATCTTTTACGGTCTGATCGGCTGCGCTGCGACCATCCTCTTCTTCAACCTCTTTTTGGAGAGGATCATCACAATGCTGGCCTACATTATGCGCTGGTGTCACGAACGTCGCCTTCGGTGCGGCGGAGTTGGCGATGCGTCCAACAGGCAGGAGCCGTCCGGGGAGGAGGACAGCCTCGAAGGCTGGAAGCCTTCCGTCTATTACGTGATGCTGATTCTGGGACTGGCCTCAATCGTGATCGCGTGCAGCGCTTCCACTCTGTACTGCTCCATGGAGAACTGGAGCTACGTGGACTCTCTGTATTTCTGCTTTGTGGCCTTCAGCACCATCGGTTTTGGGGACCTGGTAAGCAGCCAGAGGCAGCACTACGAATCTCAGGAGGCCTACCGGCTCGGGAACTGCCTGTTCATCCTGATGGGAGTATGCTGTATTTACTCCCTCTTTAATGTCATTTCCATTATCATCAAACAAACGCTCAACTGGATCTTGGAGAAGTTGGTGTGTCCCCGGGACCGTCGCCTCTGCTCCTGTTCGGCAAGCAGATGCCGGTGCCTCTGCTGCCCCTGCCTGCACAACAGAAAGCACAAGCAGAGGCATCCGCCGACTCAAAAGCGATGGAAACGCAACATGGTTCGGCCGCTCTCGTCGCACTGTCCCGCAGGACGGCAACGTTACGCGGACGGCTCGGTGGAGACCGTGTACGACAGCGAGACGGATGGCGGGGGAGTAACGGACGGGGTGTACGTAGGCCGTCGGCTGTCGGGAGAAATGATCTCCGTCAATGAGTTCATGGTGTCCAATAAGGTGTCTTTGGCACTGTTGCAGAAGCAATTAAGCGAAACTGCCCATCAGGGGCCACGACAGAGTTATGGTCACCAGAATGGATTTTCGGAGGGGGTGGGCGCATTGGCCATTATGAATAACCGTCTACAGGAAACCAGTGTGGATAGGTAGTAGGACTCAAATCATTGAATTGCTATTTTTCCCCCCCCTCAGTATTGTGATTAAGAGTTAATGTGTGATTATTTTTTGAGGCCGTCTTCTTCAATTTTTTTTTTAAACATAAGCAATAAAAGATTCAGTGTTATCATATTTAATATGCATAAATGTTTTGCTTTTATAGGTTAGCCAAAATGCTAAAATAAAAGCAAATGAAAAATAAATTCATATGAAAGATGGTTTATTTATCTTTGTCGGACCGAGTTGCTTACTTGACATTCGTTCACTACGTCAACCTCACAAAATTCTACCCAAGAAGTAGCCCAAAATGTCACTGTTGCTCGAGAAAAAAAATATACATTTTGGTGCAACGCACACTTTAAATTTAAGTACGAAAAAAAGTTGATCATTTCAAAATTATAACCAGTTGGTTGTTCATTATTAAGTGAAGCGTTATTTTCTCTTCTATATACAGAATTTTTTTTTTTTTTTACCTGGCAAAAAGTCATTATAACAATTGCAGCCTTTGTGATTTAAAAAAATGCACTGCGATATGGATTTGAGTTCGATTCATTGTTCTTTTCCCAATAAGGAGGATCGCATACCTCCATCTGCCATTGCATCGCTATGCTCTTCATATGTACAAGCCAGTAGCCCAATTCTGGGACTGGCTCTGACTTTGAACAGTAATTGTGGGCCGATGTATTCATTCCAGATCGTCATCACAGAATGTAGATGTAGTCACATTTGGCTTTGAGGACTAAAAACATGAAAGCAATTTCAAGCAGTCAGTGTCACAGTCAGGGTAGGTTTTATGTCTGAAGTGATTGGCTCATACAAAAGCAATCAGATGAAAACAGCCGTGAAGGACCACTTGATGCTGGACCGCTGATGATTTAAGAGGGCTGTGCTCGTCCTCCTAGCTCCTTGACTAATATATTTGCATGGAAGAAGGCACCAAGAGCGCATAGAGCAGAAACACAACAATTTGTAGAACGAGCTGCATGCATTCATCATTTGGGGCCTTTCACACTATACCGGAGATGATACACGCTGTAAAAAAGAAAATATTTTAATTTGCCGATTAATTCCGATATTTTCTCATCAGTACATGTCCTTGACATGCTCAGTAATCACGCAAGAGCCTTAAAATGCTGCAAAAGTGCACCCTGAGATGAATTATTATCGTTCGCAAAAACAAATTGTTGTTGGTTTTTTTTTTTTTTTTTTTGCATCGTAATAAAAGTTTGTAGTCATACTACGGTAGTTCAAATATTCTTTATTTAGGCTGAAAACCATTTCATTTTTCACATATAATACCTAGAAAGACAAAGTTGCGCACTGAGATCATACAACAGTAAGAATAGAATGAGCCGACCTGATTATTGATCATCCCGATCGAGAAAACGATGGTAAGGCAGTACATATTTTTCCAACATGCAAGGGGAAAATTTGCATTTCACATGCAATATACTAAGGATGTTTTCAGGTAGTTTTCATTGAGAATATGGCATAAATAACCAAATCAATCAATCAATCAATCAATGTAAACATACCCCCTCAATTTTGTGTAATAATGCCGTTTCTTTTTCTCAAACATCTTAAGAATGATGATGATGATGACTTTTTGTAAAAAAAAAAAAAAAAACTCTATTATTCTTTCCTTAAAAGTACAATATATTGATTTAAACCATCGAATGAAAGTACAAACCTCAACGTATACAACGTGAAATCGATTTTGTTCTTCACATTATTAGATTAGATGATCCCCTTTCCAAAAAAATGCAGCACAAGGGAACTTTTGTTGTGCATTTCCAACAGCTAGCAAGATAGCATGATAGCATTTCCTGATGGATCAACTGGACCTCATAGCTTTCCCTCGAGGTCCATGTCTCAATAATCAACGAGTGCATTTTCTCTTCGAACACGAGCTTCAGAAGTGCCTACTTTCCCCGCAAATACTCACGTTCACATACACTTTTATTTCACGGTAGCTGATGTTCAGTTCTACTGGCTTGAGCTCTTCTGCTCACTGAATATGAGGCAAAAGTTTGTTGCTGGGTCAGCGTCGCAGAGAAAGTCTTACAAAATCTCCTCTATTTATAGATAACAATTGTACAAATATAGACTGTATCAGGCTTAACTAGACCTACTTTTGCATTGTATTTGTTACGACAAAGGTGCTGCTCGCTAAAATATCAGACATTGATAACTAACTCCCTTTTTTGTCCATTTGATGTAAACAGACATTGATAACTAACTCCCTTTTTTGTCCATTTAGAAACATGAATCGAACAGTAAATGTAGACGTTAATTACAATCCCTTCATAGACACAATCCAGTCGGCCTCTTCAGGAGCCTTCCATTCTCTGATTGGACTGGAAAAAATATTGTCAAAATGAAACAACAAATGTGGTCATGAAATTGAAAATTGCGCATATTACTTGGTAAACGTTTCTATTGCTTTATTAGGACTTATCGATAGTTGTTTTTTTTTACTTACATTTGGTACTGTAGGGTTGTGCGTCTCTCTCTGTTGGTAGTAAGCAGAGATGATGCAGTTCCTTCTGTAACACACACAAACCACACTTGGCCTTCACCCCGGGCATTCATGACGGTACCATAGTCGCTTTTTCAAGTATCAGTACTTTACTCAACAGTAGTACATATAGTAGTGTTGTGTGTACTTCTGTCATGGCCTACACGGGCCACACTTTCAAATTATTGTTACGTCGCAGCTGCAAAAACGGACATTTCCAGACATGCACGATTGCGCGCGCGCACACAGGCACACGCAGGGCTCACTTGCTCTGTATGCCTCCCCCTGGTGGTAATCCAGGGATTACGGTAGATGCGAGGACTGTGAGCACCGCCAGCAAATCAGGATCCTCCCCTCTGGCACACAGCTCATCATAAATCTCTGGTAAGTAGAAGACATAAGACACAAAATACATTGATTTCAGTTTTTAGTTTCTTTCTCTCTCTCTTTCTCTCTCTTTCTCTCTCTCTCACACTCTTTCCACACACTAAAATGTTGAAGAAAAAGAGACAATCCATCATTTTCAAGGGCTTTATGTTGACTCTTCCCATTTCTTTCTTATTTTTATGTATTTTTTTTAAATAAGAATATCTTTATCACCCATCTATCCTCATAATGCGCAAAAAAAGAGGAAAAAATATAGATTTAATTCTCGATATGACACTCAGAATTTACATTACTTACAGTGTTTATTTTAGGGTCAGGGACGAGTTGGAGCCAATCCCATCTGACTTTGAGCGAGAAGTGAGAGGCACCCCAGGCTCGTCGCCAGCCAATCGTATAATGTACCAACTAGCGCCTTCAATTAACTGAACATGTATGTCTTCAAATTGTAGGAGGAAGCTGGGGGGCGGGGGGGGGGAGCGAAATTCAACACAGGCAGACTTTCGAACCCCCAACCTCGGAACCTTGAGGCAGATGAGCGAACCTTACGAACACCGGGCCACCATATCGCACATATGTCAGTATAAGAATAACCTGTCATGCTGCACCCATTTAAATGTTCTTTTCAGTACAACACAATAAAAGAACACATAACGTGTGTTCAACTTTCCGATTTGGCAATGCACTACACGGTACAGTACTATATGGTCTGATGTGAGTCATCATGGCTGATATTAGACCTGCTACTTTGGACTCCAGCAGATCCTCCAGCTCGGCCTCTTGGTGTAACGCCTCGGTGGACAGCTGGGGAGCGCCGGGGAAACACAGTAGAATGATGCTGATGTTGTCAAGGCTGCCCTGTGATGGAGAATCGCGTCCATATTGTTAGACTCCGACCTCAGCCACATCACTATTTAAAGCATCGCTGCCGATTGATCTTTTTTTTTTTTTTTCTTTCTGCACGCAGCTGCGGCAGTGGAGCAGAGAAATGTGCACGCACCGAAGGAGAAAATGTGACATTTTGAGGTGATCGTGCATTTCCGCACTGGAGTGTTTTTATTACGTAATGATGACATGATGGACGTGACAGTCAAGCAAAGGGTAGATCCACTATTTTGTGTACGTGTGACATGTGTTGATTTCATAGTTGTTTATGTGCCGCTGAGGAGGACATAAAATACAAGTTGCAATGAAAAGCATTCTGTTTAAGTGGCTGATTTCATGATGGAATGTTCTAGGCCGCTACTGCAGTTTCTTGCAAGTTTACGAATGCTTCAGATGAAACTTTGATGTATATTTTTTTATCCCCCGAAGAGCAATATCTTACATGTACAAAAGTAGGACACCATAAACAGTGCAGCTATGAACGTCAAGCTGTGTCTTTTCATTGGATTTGATAGATACAGAGGTATCCCGGAAGAATTCTTCCAGGAGCGCGTGAAGGCACGGCAGAGAAGGCTGAGAAAGTGCATTAGACTTTGGGGGTTTACTTCAAAGGGAAACGTGTCCCGTTGTAGTGTCGCAGAACTTTTTTGACACATCTTGTATTTATAGCCTCAGATGTATCTGAGGATGAAATACAGATTCAGGGAATCCGAATTAAGTAAGGCAAATGTTCTCGAGTTGTATGTGGAGTATTTCTCGAAAGGTTAGATTAACCTGGCAGTCTAATGATGGCAAGTATTTCAACTCTAGGCAACCATTGGAATTAATGTGAAGACTTTCAATAGTTTCGCAGGTGGGCTGGAGCCTACCGAAGCTGACTATGCAGCGGCTACATAATAGACTGGTCCTAACATGTTGAACTGTCAGCCCAGAATTTAATGCTGATCTATTTACTTTCAGTCTTTTCTAATAAAACATGATCATTCCATTTATGACAGATCAGCTGGTGTCTGATCTCAAACTGATGTCTGAACTCCATTTTGATTTAATTTATTGGACGCAATAAATGTGACATTCTCTAAAATGTCAAGACTTTGATGATCGTGGACATCTGTATTCAACTGTCACATTTAACAATACAGGATGATGCGTTTCTTTCTTGAGTTGTGCTTGTTGTGTTTAAATACCATATTGGCCCGAATATAAGACGGCCCTGATTATAAGACGACCCCCTCTTTTTCAAGACTCAAGTTTGAAAAAAGACTTTTTGAACACCAAATTAATTTTTATACAGAAAATAATTACAGTACATCTAAAACAAATGATTATAACAATATATTTGAGAGAAAAAGCATGTTATTTTGCCTCATTCAAATCTTAAAATCTGAACATTTAATTCTGTAAACTAAAGTGCAATCACATTCGTAAAGAAATGGCTTCTGGTTTTTGAAATGTCAATTACATCATAACTTCTCCTCAGCTGCCGGTTAACCTGGCCGATCTTTGACCCACTTTTCTCCAGATTGTCGCTACGTTTCTCCATTTTCTGTTATCTCTTCTATTATTTTCTTCTTTTCTTTCGTACCGCTATTTTTTATTTTTATTCTTCGTGACAGGGGTTCACTTTTGCCTGGGGAGTCAGCATTCGCTTCAATATCTGGCGCCATCCAGCGTCGTGAATGGGTATAACGCCTAGACCCCGAATATAAGACGACCCACACTTTTTCAGTCTTATTTCAATGCAAAAAACACCGTCTTATATTCGGCCCATATGGTAGTCAGGATAAATTGTGGTCCCTCACCATATGATCCTTTAAAAATAATTCAAGTTGCAAGCTGGCCAAATGCCTCTTGCGGTAGTTCGAGGTTGCTAAATTTGGTTTCCAGCGGCAGGTTCTGACCTTGTAGAGGCAGAGGTCAATGACCTGCGAGCAGACGTCCCTCAGGTCGGTGCACACGAGCAGGCGGTTGTGGATGAAGGCGCAAAGCTCCTCATTGCTGATCGTGTCCCACACTCCATCGCAGGCAAGCACCAGGAACTCGTCGGCCGGCGAACGTTCCACGACGCACACCTCCGGCTCGGGCGACACCATCTGCTCGTTGACCGACCTGTTCTCCGCCCCCTTGTAGCTAAAGTCGCCCAGCGCTCGGGAAACCGCCAGCGAGCCGTTGATACGTTGGAGGGACACGGATCCTCCGGCGCTCTCAATGCGCTCCTTCTCCAGAGGGCAGTAAGGTTTGTGGTCCTCGGTGGAGAAGCAAACCTCACCCGAGCGACACAAAACGGCCCTCGAGTCCCCGCAGTTGGCGAAGTAGATGTTATAGGGCGAAATGAGGGCGGCCACGACGGTGGTGCCGCCTCTCTCCCACCCTTCTCGGCGGGCCACGCCGTGGAGATGCTTGTCCGTTTGCAGGAAGCCTTCTGTTAGGGCCCCTTTCACTTTGTCGGCGTCGTCTTCTGGCCTCAGGCCACCTGTCAACACAAACACAACTCAGAAGAGTACACAAATGCGCAATTTACTACGTGTTATTTTGACCAATCTTAAAGTGCTGAAAAGGGCCTTCTTTCTTTAATGTTGCAATGTCCATGGTTGAAATGTGACATTTTAGGCGTTTCCTGAGAAGTGACGATTTTGTAGGCAAAAGGATTCTTGACCTCCTACTAACTAACAAAAATGAAACAAAGTTTCGTTTGTTTCTTTTCTTCCTTCCAAACTGCAGCCTTTGTGATTTGAAAATTGCGGCTCCAAGATTTTTTCTCTCCGGGGCTAAATGGAGGCCTGACTGATACATAGGAAGCTGAAAAAAATCATTGCTAACTATATTTTAGAATATAAAATAAAATGCTGGAGGGAAATAACTTGTGCGACACAGATTTTTGACAGGACGACAGCCCCGCCAAGCCTCCAATGTAGCACCGACCCTGATTGTACTACATTGCGATGTCGATTTGAATTTGATCAATCCTACTCTGTAATATTATCTAAAGTCTTACATTATTGATTCAGCTCTCCTTTTGGATTTGCGGGAGTCTGCCGAGTGCACGCTGTTGTCATTCTCGAACATGTGTGTGTCACCTGTGGCCAGGATGTGACCCAGAAGGTGCTGCGAGCAGTGCTGTGCCACCGTGTTTCCCGCATGGCCATCGAACACGGCGAAGAAACTCCAGTCGGCCAGCTCTCCCCCCAGCTGAGGCACGCAGTTGTGGTAGTCCTCCATGTTGGCCCGCCAGCCTTGCATGCTCCCCAGGGCATAGGTGAGCCCCCAGCGGGCGCAGCCTTCCTCTGCCAGCTTGTCCAACACCGGCCGGTCCAAGTAGGGGCTGGGAATGACCTCCTCCTTCTCCCCCTCCCCGGGCTGCTCCCCCTCGGCCGCTCCACCCCGGCCCCCCTTGAAGAAGGAGCTGACCCTCTTCTCCGTCTCTTTGACCAGCTGCCGCACAAACGCGGGCATCTCCACGCTTCCCTTCCTCGACGTCCTCATGCTTCAGATGTTGTGTGTTTACAGCTGGTGGCGAGGCCTGCTGGTGCTGCCGGGCCCTCCTCTGCTCATGGCTGCTTCATCTGACGGATGTTCTTACCTCCCTCTCCTCGCTCATCTCCTTCCTCTCCTCTCCTCATGGGAGACGTCACTAAGCGCCGCTCTCTCCTCCACCCATCCTCACTCTCCTCTGCTGCGCTTTCACCTTTTCCCCAGCATTTTTTCTTTCCGGGCCTGCCTCTTTGCTTTGTTATCTTTGCTCTGCCTGCTCCGGGATTGGCCGGCTATTTCTGTGCACCAATCCTCGGCCCGCCTCTGACTGTCACGATCATATTGGAGCGCAGCCTTTCTTTTTGCCGTCTTCCTGTGGGTACTGCGGACCCTCCCACTTTGCGATCAACCCAACCTTTGATCGAGTTGGATTATAGGCTCACAGCATGGGGGATTATGGGGCAGACGGCCATTTAGATCTCAGTGACGGAGGAAAGGACAAACGCAAAGACTGTGGCTAGTGGCGGCAATAATAAAAGACCAATCTTCATTGTGTACTTTATCCTACTGAATAGGGATAATATTCGATAGTACGTTTTTATTTTCTCAGACTGATACCAGTGCTCACTAATAGCGATGCCATGTAACCGATACCAGTAGTACTTTTGATACATACAATTTCTATTAAACCCGTGACAGATCATTTTAAAGAAAGACAGAACACATTAATGAACTGAATAATAACGACATTGTATTTTTCTCAGTCAATGAAAGCAGAGAAATGTGTACAATAAGTAAATGCATGTAGAAAGTCATCATGCTATGCAAATTAAATCAGCAAATAAACGCTTATAATGCACTGTAATATAAACCTTATAAACACACAGTACATAAACTTACCAAAATTGAATCTTAATATAATATGATGGACAATAAAACAATAAAATGGACAAACAAGAGTTAAGTTCTGTTGTTTCGGTGCTTAAAATTGAAACCAACAGCTGCTAATAACTGCATTGTTCCGAAAGTACATTTTCAGAACCTTTTAGGGAATTTTGTAAATGCTCAAAGTTGGACACAACACCATCCGTCATTGCATCCCCTTTTTATACCAGTTATTCTGTTTCACAGGGACATTAGAGACAGACAAGCGTTCACACTCACATTCACACGATCACTCAGCAGCAACTGAGGCATGCTCTCTGCGTGGAAATCAAGCCAGTGATGGATAACGGAAAACTATATTTTTATCTGAGGATTAAAAATATATATATATTTCTTGACTTACACTATGTTTTTTTTAATAGTAGTGCCACAATTCTCAGTGAATCTGAATATATAAATACATCTTTTATGCTCTCCTTTTTTAATACACTTTGATGAATGCATGCCGCACTTAGTGTGCTGTCACCCAGTGGCTGATAGAGGAATTGCAACCCAAATATAAAATTTGTGCGAACATGAAGTTACGCACATTTCCACTGACCGACCCCCGCCCTATCAATTTTTATATATTCCCAAAATAACCTGGACATTTTTTACTAATTCGCCTGTAAATGTAATAACAATGTATCATGCATTATTCAAAAGATCCGTTTTTTAAATAACCAATATGAAAAGTGTGAACTTGTTCTTACTTTTCTCTGCGATAAAACCCAATAACGATTGACCGTGAACAAAAACGCGTTGCCTTCACGGCTTATTCGGCGTCAATCAAATTGTTCTGATATCATCCCTGTAGTACATCTCTCAGCCAACAGAAAGTCAGGACAGGTTGTATTCTAAACAAATTTGAGTTGTTTCAGAAAGCTGTCACAGTGGCATTCAAACATTGAATCTCAGCAGAGCAACGAGTGGAACATAAACACCCAGAGAATGCTGGAACATTTCAGCTCGTCTATAAAAGTCTTGCTCCGTGACAACAATGCTTTGGATCAAAACGATGAAAATCTGGGAGACGTGGCCACTTTGAAGTGAAATCGTGAGCGTGTTCCCTGTGCCCTCAAGTTTTTTCATGGCATTTCCATTCATTTCAATGGGGGAAAGAAAAACATCTTCACTGTGAGATGTGTGTGTGTGTGTGTGTGTGTGTGTGTGTGTGTGTGTGTGTGTGTGTGTGTGTGTGTGTGTTTATGTGTGTGTGTGTGTGTGTGTGTGTGTGTGTGTGTGTGTGTGTGCGCGTGTGTTTTCAGATTTGTCAAGCTGGCTCTCATTTTACAATTCTGGTTCGAGTTCTGTTCCAGATTCGAGGTTAAGTAGCTATCCAGCTGCAGGAAAGATGACTTTACAAATGTCTTTCGTAGTGACGACAGATGAATGTTGTCCGTGCCGGCCTCCAGTAGGCCACCAACTAGCTCGGGGGCACAGGAGTGTCTGAAAGCTGACGGATGAGTACATGGTGATGTCTCAAGTTGCCAATTTGTGTGAGCGCTCGCGCGCATGTGCGTGTTTGTATCCAAAGTGGGGCCATCCAATACGGGATAAAATTAGGCCACGGCGTCCTTATATTGCTGACAGAGCGGTGGTGGCCAAAAAAAGCCTGCGGCGGTGCAAAGCCAACAAGAGGGAAAGAGAGGAGAGCAGGACCGCCGCCGACATGGCCAGCAAATGTAAGGAAACAAATGGTGGCACACTTTGAAGTTAAGAGCAGTCACGCTGTCAGTCAATCGGCCTGTCAGGTGCATGTGGAAATGGGAACTGATTTACTGTATTTGGTCTGTGCAGGAAAGGTGTGAGAGCCCACGCTGGTTCGACTTTTGTTTCATCTAGAGAAAAGTCAGGGAACGGGAGAAAGCTTGATAGATTTTTCTTGCTAAAGAAGTGTTTCGTGTGTGTGTGTGTGTGTGTGTGTGTGTGTGTGTGTGTGTGTGTGAATCCACTGTACAAATTTGTTTTCAATGTTGTATCATAGTATGGTGGATGTTAGCTTCTCTCCTGTCCTGAAAGATGTGAATATAAATGAGTTGTCATTTTGGAACTCTCCCCTTCAGTTAAGATGTTGTCAGTGAAACTTGTTAAATTTTTTTTCTTCAACTATTGCCTCTGTGGCATACTGTTTATTTCACGTTTAGCATTGCTAAAATGAATGGCTACGTCTATCAACCACTTTATTGAGCAAATAACCCGATTTTGGTATAGCTGTACATCATTGCGGAAAGGCACTTATGAGAATCAATGTATTTTTTTCCCTTCTCTTAAAGCAGTTTATATCCATTTTATGAAACAAAATATCATAAAGATCTCGATGTTTCCAAATAATTACCCAGGTTTGCTTTTCACCGAGTGCGGCAGAAAGTCTTAATGTGATGACAAATTATGTGATAAGTGTTAGCACTTGTGTTGTTATGACAGACTTTAGACAGTCTGAAATGAAATGTGTGTCGTGTTTAGGTCACCCTTGATATTTATGTACCGGTACTTCATATTTTAAAGGGGGGATTACAGCCAATTTAATTCTTTGAATTATGGACCACTTGAAATACTCCCGAAATGACTCGAGATCAGTTCACATGAAGTTAATCATTTCAGAATGCGTATGTTGTGTTTGTAGTGATGGACCTGGTTTACTGGAAGAGCACGAGCAGGACCGGAGTGGTGTTCACGGGCTTGGTGGTGTGTCTGGCCAGTCTGTTCCAGCTGAGCGCCATCACTGTCCTCTCTCACATTTGTTTGGGCGTCATGTGCGTCACCTTCCCGCTGCGCCTCTACTACAAGCTGCTGGAGCTGCTGCGCTGGAACCCTGGGCTGCATCCTTTCCAGTGAGTCCATTCACGTTGCTTTGATTGGCCCGGCAGATAGAGGGAGGTACATTTATGAAAAGTTCACTTTGGATTGATAGTTTCTTACACATTTACGCTTTAAACACTGAACGTGAAGGCAGGTTAGAAACGGTGTTGGTATTTCACAGATGAGCGCGGGCTGGCGGAACTGAGAGAGGGAGGTTTGCATCGTTGTGGGAGTGATCACAGCCAACCTTGATTATCCAAGTTATCCATCCATTTTTACGTAGAATGATCAGAGTTCTGAGTCCTCATAGACTGACATTACATTTTGGCCTCTTTTTGCAATTTCTTTGTTCGTGGGTTAGATTGCACAATTGGCGCTTAGCATTTTGTGATGTCAGTTTTCCGATGTTGGCTCACAAAGCTCTGTTCAAATTCATACCGGAGTTGTGCAGCACGCCGCTGGAGGATTGGGTCAGTATGACTGGAAATGTGTTGAAGGGGTAAAAGGTCAGGCAGGGCTCTCAGATTTTTCCACACCACAGGGTGCAGACTTTATTTTATTGGGTTGACTGTTAATTTATTAGGTATTGGTCCATGTCCATACTTTTATCCAATTTTATTCAAATTGTGATGTATATAAATGTGTTTGCAGGTCATATCTGGACTACGACAGTTCACTGACAGACAAGGAGACGGTGATGCTGGTGGAAGAGGTGGTGCTTCTAATAGCGTTCGCCGTCACAGAGCTCAAGCGTCTTCTTTTCATTGACAACGTTTTTGATTCGCTCAAGGTCAGACGATGGGATGTTTGAAAGCAAAATATTGCTCAGCACTTACTGATTTGGTTCTAATTGCATTTTGAAGGCTTTTTTTTTTTCTCTCAGTTTGTTTTGCTGCTGTACCTGCTGACCTATGTCGGCGTTCTCACTGCTGGACTGACTCTGGTCATAACTGGTGAGTTCAGAAAATACCCCGTGGTTCTGTCATCAACATTCACAAATAAATTGACCGTGACAGAAGTATGGTGCACTTGTGGTTAGATACATCAGCCTCACAGTTCATAGTTCAGATCTTGGACCTTGAATTGGCATGTTTTTCCCCTTACTGTATTGAAAAGCATCTTCCAGGTGTGGTTCTCGGTTACTATTTGACCAGATAACACAACTGTTAAATGCAAATGTCTTTCTTTCAACTTGTCTGATTGTTGACTTTAACGTCAATATTTGTGTGTGTGTGTTACAGCTGTCATTGCTCTTTTCTCCTTTCCTCTACTCTACAAAAAACAGCAGGTAAGATTTTGAACATATGTATCTTACTGGAAAAATACTCATCATCGGCCACAACATTAGGTACACCGGCACAACTGAACAACCTCCACTGCAAGAGCTGTATCACTGCAATCACATTAAGAAACAACCATGCATCCATTTTTTATGCTGGTTGTCCCCATTAAGGTGAGCTGAAGAGGTACCCAGATATGCACATATGTTAACTCCTCGAAGGGAGGCAGGCGTCGGGGTTTGAAAGAAGTGGGAGGCAGACATTCTAACAGCTAGCCTGTCATCCTGCCCAATATAAACTTATGACAATATCTTTTTTTTTTTTTTTTTTTTTAAGAGAAGAGTTTAGTTGATGCAGCTCTTGTCTTGAAAAGTAGGTCGTGCAGGTCGACTGTATCTAATATTGTGACCAAGCAGTGTAGAAATATGTTCTAAATGTGCACTCCCTGTGATGATGCCAGGTGAGGATAAGGAGGATTGTCAGAACTTGCAAAGCTTTTGAGAAGAAAATTAAAACATGGTAAGCAATGTTGTTACAAAATTGCCACATCCCTACAAATTAATTGCCACGTACACAGTAACTGATATACGCCACCGTGTGGTGCTGCATCTTGTGTCAGGTGCCACGCGGTGCATGATGCAGTCAAGTCGGCTCGTGCACCAGGCGCCACCTCGAAACCTGCCCCCACGCCACCCTCCAAACAGAAAGTGAAGGCAAAGTAAAGAGCGCACGCGGGATGTTTCGATTTGACAAAATGACCGTGGCGCTGGTGGTGCCGCATCCTCCGTGAGTCCACCATGACGTCGGTTTTGGAGCACCGTCTAATCGATGTTGACAGCTGAAACAAAGCTGCTATTCATTAGGAGGGAATGTGTGAGGAGAGAGGAATTTTATTCAGCAAGATACTTTGTGTGGGCAAACTGATTCACACATCCACTTCAGTCAGGGACAGCTTGCAGTCTTAGTGGTAACAGGTCTATTTTTACATTACCACAATCACTGTGTTCCTGTCGAGATGCAAAATGAAGCTTTTTTTTTTTTTTTTTAACTGTGGATATAATTTTAGTAAAACTGACATGAACCTCACCTGCCACTCATTTTTCATATGACGATTTTGTTTTGGACTAAAATTGTAGTCCTTTAAAAGTAGTGTGGGACTTGCCACCCCAAAATATAGTTTCAAAAGGAAACACAAGCAAAAGCAAACAATTTACAAACAATCCCATCAATAAATTTAGCTTCATTTTTATAGAATAATGACACTATAAATGACTATATACAAAACATCTGCAGAACCACCACGGCCATTCACTTGAGATTTTAGTGCTCTGTTAATGAACTATTTGTAAATACAGTAGTGCCTTGAGAAACAAGTAGAAGGCTTTCCGTGACCACACTCAAAACTCTAGTCACTCGTAATCGCAGATCAACTTTCCCTATTCAATTAAACGGAACTACCATTAATTCGTTCCTCTCCCCCAAAAAATATAATTCTGTCATATTGTGGTTTGAACTAAATAATTAAATACAATTACAGGAAAAAGTTATTGTAACACCTTGAATCAATTGAATGGCCATTGTCCTGATGCCAGCCTTGGCCACCTGGGGGCAGTATCATGCAAACAAATGGATATAATGTACATGGACGTCTGTACAGTGGAAACATTTTCACTAATTTCAACTCCGAGCAGAGGATAAAGAATATATGACGAAGTACTGTTATACTGAATGTCTACATTTGTTGCTGCACCATTTCCATTCAATGATCATGCCCAAAGGGTTATAAACTTGTTTCCCATTATGCATTAGGATTAAGCTAGCCGACTAAAGGCAAAGCTATGTGATTGCTTTGAACAATTGTGTAATTTGCTTTGTTTTCTCCTTGTAATGTGTGCTTTGCTACATAACTGGTGATGAAGACAGAAAACAAATAAGATCAATTTTGCTAAAGTTGTGCAGATAGAAGTGAATTGTCAGAATAATGCACATTTAAAATAGCATCAACTTGTAAATTGTCGCGCAAGTGGAGGGCCAAACTACAAAAGTGATTTTCTCTTCAGCTGTGCCTTGCTTTATTGATGAATATGTTGCTGTCCTGAAAAAGAACTCTCCTATAACATTGATGAGCTCATGCTGTACTCAAACTAAAATGTCTTAATGAGCTACAATGAAAAAAAAAAGGCAGTGTGCCGTTACTTTTATAGGAAATGAAAATGAAAGAAAATATGGAGTCTCTTTCCTTTTTTTACTCTTCTGGGTATATTTTCTACAAGATGTTATTGTGTGTGCGGGAATCTTCGTCCATCCACCCAGAAGAACATCTGTGAGGTCACTGACGTTGGTTAGGACATAGAATTTAAATTATGTTCTAATTCATCCACAAGGTCTCAACGTGATGTTTTTTGACACTTGCGTATCTGTATTATTTCATTGTGGCTGTGAGATATAATTTGCTGGAACTGTGAACTTCACACCCTACATTTCACAGATAAAAGCCAAACAATCTCTGCTGATATACATTTCACAGATAAAAGCCAAACAATCTCTGCTGTCTCAGCCACAATGTCAGAAGTCTTTGTTTTGGACACAGCACAGACCCTTTGTATACAAGGCATTTATAAAAAATTAAACTGACAGCAGTATCATTATAAATGCTTTGTTCTTTTTACCTTTTATTCATGTCCGTTGTCCTTCTTTCTCTAATAAAAAGCTACAAAACAGTTTAACTCTGTATTCGATTCTGTCTGACTTAATTTGTTCATTAATTTTTGCTTGCAATGGAAAAAAAAAGTCGAAACACGGTAGGCCTTCATAGTAGAGGTTTAGGGATGGATTTTTAGATTCCCCTTCCCCGATTAGGCTTCCTTTACAAACGTATAAAAACGCAAGAATCATTTTAAAAACATTTTTGCTTATGATTTTAAGTAACTATTTTTAACTGATGATTTTTTTTCATTGTAAAAATCTTGAATGATGTGAATGTCAACGGAATAAATGGCAAAGAATAAATGGCGCGATGAAATGTACCTGCTGTTGCAGTTCCTCATAAAGCCACTGGATGCCGCTGTTGGAAAGTGTCAGTATGGGGGGAGGGGGCGGGGTTAGGAGGAGCTGTGACGAGTCAGCTGCAAAGTGCACAAACAAAAGGATGCTAAGAGTGACGATCACGATCAGTATGAATGCAGCGCCATTATTAAAAAGTGCCTTTGGACTCTTCCACGTTTATACACGATGTTTCCATGCATAGGAATTTAATAATGTCACTCACAGAGCTTACAATGTGACTGTCATCGTAATGGTAGCGATTAAAATTATCCCAACTTTTATACTACAGTGAGACATGTCGGTTGTTTAGGTAACTCTTTATTTAGACCCAACTATTTATACACAAACAATTTTTTAAAAAGTACATTTTCCACGTGTCGCCTCCCAAAATTCCCACAGGCACACACCAACATCTTGTAAAAAGTCTTCCCAACAAAAGTGGAAACTGCTATAGCTGCAAAACTCCTTTCATGTTCTCTCCAGTAGCTGGAAAATTCTGTGGTGCTTATACTTTTAACCGTAAAGTGTTCCATTCTGACAAAAAAAATTCTTGACATGATACAAGATATACATACATTGACTGCTCACCTCTGAACAGCTATTTCGGTAAAACATCTCTAGCACATTGCTACACGACCCCCCCCGCCCCCACCTCCAGAGTAATCATGAAATCGTCCCACTGATAGGTGCATTTAACAATCATCTAATTTCTTCAATTACTCTGTCTCATACTAGATACCTATCTCATATCTTTTCGTTCTGCTATCGTCTAAAATGTAAAGAACGACCTCGAAATAGCAAATTGTCTCATCGCAAACAACACAAATATTAGCTTATCGTGGCTGTATTTCTATGAGGTCAAAGTGGCATATTTCCTATTTTTCAGCAGTATTGAAAGTAGCATAAGACAAGCTTAACCAGTGTTTCTCAACTACTGTTCCGGGACACGAGTGTGCCATGAGAGATAATTAGGTATGCCACAGGAAATCTTTTTTTTTTTTTTTTAATTCATTTAGAATAAATGAAAATTAATATTTATTCACCCTGCCAGCGATGTACAGTCACTTGCAGAAAAATTAAATGCTCTTCCATTAGAAAGCAGAAGGCACAATTAACTTGTGTATCCACCTGCTGCCATTCATAAAAAATGGCTAAACAGGACAACAATTTACAGAGTCATTACATTTGTGGGAAAATTGAGATGGGTGACGCCGCTTCGTAACAACTTGTCTGATGATTTTTTTTATCTTTGACTTGTGAGACTAAACTTGCGATATGAGAGCTTTATGGGTCACAGTCCCCTTAATGAGCAAAAGCAACACTTTGGCAAATACTTCATAATTCTCCAGAATGTGGCTTCAAGCCGTCTAATGCCACTCCTAGTTTAAGTTTTTGTCAAGTTTAGTGTAAAACAAAGACAAATGCATTTTTCTTGATTTAAAAAAAAAACAAAAAAACAAAAAAACTATATTGCAGTGCTATGACCCATGAAGCAGCAGACCATAAACCAACGGTGCAATATAATCGTACACGTTCATATCCTTTATCTTTTGTTTGGAATTACAGTTATTTGCTAGTGCTGTACTTAGTGAGCTAAGAGGGACGTTAAGGCGTTATGAATCCCACTGGAATTCTGGGAAGAACACGCCCCGCGACGATACAAGGTAGCAGCCTTTCATAGAATTCAAATGTGATTCATAACGAAGCCTCGATGGAATACTGTAAACAAGTGGATTAGTCTTCTTCATCAGAATACTAGTGTTTACACTCGTGGGGCACACATAAGATATTTTCGCAAAGATTTTTGACTTGACTGCTTTAAATGCTCTACAAGAAGGCGAGTTTGGCCTATGATGCTTCCCGATCTGGACCGATGGCTGGGTGGACAAATGCAAACTTGCTCAGACGTTGACGGGGGTCAAAGCGAGCGGCTGCGTCACATCACACGTAGTGTTCACGGTGGTTGATGTACACACGCTCCGTCCCGCTTTGATGACAAACCCACTCCAGGCGGGATGACTGCGTGGGGCTTCGTCTCCCCGGTAGTCCCCCCGCCGCCGCGGCCGCCACGAGGGGTCGCCGCCTCTCGGTGGCCTCGTACCTATGCTCGGCCCTGCGGTTCTGCATGTGGATGTCCACCAGAGATGTAGTACGCGTGGGCAAAGTGGCATCATTAACGTCACGGTGAGGAGGGGGGGGGAGCTTTACCTGACACAGCCAGGCCACCTGCGATGCATGGACACCCAAAGGAACAGCAGGCGCTTGCTCCGAGTATGGAGGAGGAGGTTTGTGTGTCGGCGGAAGGTCAATCCTTCAGAGGATTAAATAAAGACATAAAAGAAATATCACTACAAGATTATTTCCTTCGGCAGAGAATGCAGCATTTTGAAACACACAAAGGACAATAATCTGGTCTGAAACATGTCAACAGAGTTATCATTCGACCGATACGTGTGCAATTATTCCACGTTTCATTATTCTGCAATGTTTTCATGATGACGGTGATTGCGATGAGGATGCCAAAGGCACTTCATATGAATACTGACCCCTTTATCGACATCGACTTTGCAACATGGAATGATTTTCGCTTTCAAGATTCCAGTTGATGCTGTACTATACACTTATGTGCGTGCGTGCGTGTGTGAGATGAAGGAGAGTGGCGAGGCCTGCCCGTGTTGTCCCACTGGGACATCCAGCCACAGTCACGCTTAAGATGCTAACTTCGTTACAGCACTGCAGGGTGCGCGGTTCCGCAGTGTCACAGGGCCGCACACTTTCCACCCGAATTGCTTTTTTTTTTTGACAAAAATGTCTGCACTGCATGAATATTGATTACTGTACTGTTGAAAGGGGATGTCAGGTCAAAAAAATCTTTACACTGATATGTTCTATGCACCCCTACTAGTGTAAACACAGCATTCTGATTGATATTGCGTTTGCCGGTATATGAATTAATCAATAAAATCCATTCGGTTTATCCATCGCAGGGGCGGCCATTTTCCCTTGTGCTGCCACTTCTTGTCGACTGAAAATGACATTACAGTTCCTATAAAGGGCTCGGGGTAACGACCAATCACCAATCGGAGAGAGATGGATAAAACAAGGTGGATTTTGCGGCTTAATTCATTTTGATGTGTCATAGGTTGACTTGAATTTTATTTGGAAAGTAACATTATTTTGACTTGAGTTTATATGTTGTGGCCGCGTGGTGCGCAGTTGTGACAGCCAATTTGACTTCATTTTTGTCCATGAAATTGTCAAGTTCATCCTGAATAAGATGCTTTGAAAGGCACTTTGAACACATACTGTAAGCATGTGTTGTTAAAAATTTGTTTAAAAATATGACATACATATGCTGATCAAAGGCTAATTTTGAACAACTCATATCCTTCAGCTCTTCACTTTTGTAAAAGTGCGTTGTGACTTGGCAAAATTAGGGAAATGTGAGGTGGAAGAATTAATTTGAATATTTACAATACAACTTTACACCACCATTTCTTTTCATAAAAACAACAAAAAAAAACCTCACCATGATTACACCAGAGTGACAAAACTAAACGTTATGAGCCGTCACTTTCTCCTCCTTTTGTACAGAAGTACGCAAGGACACATGAACAAGGATAAATGAGGGGAATTAACCCGTGACCTTGCACAGGCGTTACAGTCCGCAGGTTACAAGTGAGAGCGGCGTCGTGGACATCAATACTAAACGGAAGCTTATTGTAATTCATTAAAACAAGTCCTCAGGCACTGAAAGCAGCCTCAGGGTTGAGTGTTTTAACATGTTTTCACAAAATAAGACAGAGGGCTATCTGTTCACAGTTCTTTGGCGCCCCAGCGGTGAAAGAGAACCCGCTGACAGGCTTCAGCCAAGGCTCAAGGGGAATCATTTTTCATCAGTCATTTTTTTGGTGTGTGTGTTTGTTTCTAGTTGAGTCAGATTTCTTTGACTTACACTTTGTCCGAAAAGGCCGCCGGCGGGGCCTTGCGGGCCTTGACTAGGACGATGATGAAGACGGTGATGAGGAAGAGAGCGAGGACCGCGCCGATCACCGCCCCGGCCACGGCGATGGAGTTTGACCTTTCGGCCCGAGACTGTTCTAGGAGAAGAAAGACACTTTTGAGTGGTCACAAGCGCGGCCTGCAGATGTGGACAAGATGATGCTGTAACCACAGCAGTAAAAGCTATTCACTATGCCGACCACCATTGTGATACATCACGACAGGCGCTCTGTTTCACACTACAAAGTTGTTTGGAATATTTCAGTTGTCAACACGGGAGGGGTACAACATTCGTAACAACTGTCAGCTGTCTGCATCATAATGCAGAGCACAAAGTACAGCCACTCAAAACTGAGGAGCATTAACTTGTAAATGCAAATTATAAGAAGGATCCCTTGCTGGTGAATGCATACCTACAATTAATTATGGCAATTCAGTTAGTGGTTTTAGCCTGCCCCCCCCCCCCCACCCCATTAATACCTTCTTACGGCACATTGAACAAATCACACGGACTACTGGAGTGAAAATAAGTTCATTAAACGACAATTTCCTGCATTAGTGACCCTTCCGGTGTTTCTTTGACCATGTTTTGCTCACCGCCATCACACCCTCCCCTCCATCGTGTGTGTAGATCTTAAATACTCTTGTAATGTCTGCTGAATTAGCTTTGTTAGACCATATGCCGGCATACGCACCACGTCGTCCCTACCCCCCCGAAGGGATTAAGACTTAACGGCGATTAAGATGCATTCATGTCACAGGCCAAACCGGCCGGGCCCAGCAGGTCTGTGTACAAATGGGAGTATGACACACACACACACAGCCCACAAGGCTGACGGAGGACGAAAGGTGACAGAAGCAAAAGTACACCGGCAAGGGTCAATTACAGTTGATTTAGCTGCTGAGGTCGGGGGTGGGATCAATAATGCACTGCAATGAATCTTAAATACCACTTCCATCATGACGCATACGGACAAGTGTGGACTTTGGAGCTTCCTCATCCCCACGCGCCCTTCATCTCGTCCTCCACCCTCCGCCATAGATGCCTCGCCCTGACGGCGGCTGAACTACGACATGGGTCGCGCCGCTTGATCGGCGAACGCCTTTAAAAAAAAAAAAAAATGCAGGTCGTCACTCTTCCCGCCGTAATGAATGGTGACTGACCTTCACTGCGTGGCAGAGAAAGAAGAGCAGCAGCAGCTGCCGTTGGGGTCAAAAGGTCATTCTTGATTTATCTGAAACAAATGTAGTTTTGGCTTTCCCTTCATTTTGGAGATGTAAATAACAAAATATTGTACTAACTTGGGATGTACTTTTCTTTCTCTACGAAGCTTCATTTTAGTTTTGTTTTAAACTCACAGTCACCCAATGTCAAGTAAAAAAAAATGTTTGGGTACGATATAATCAATTCTTATGAGATGAATTTCTACGAATTGTCCTCATTCAATCTCAACAGGATGTAGAGAGTGCCCGTGAAGAAGACATCAAAGCTGGGCGATGTCATGCAGTCAGATGATGAATTAAAGAAGAGAAGCAAGGGTGATGACAGCGCAGTCCGGAGCATCCTCAATAGCAGGGTCAAGGGTCACACTACTGCCCCGAGGGAGCCCATGCCGCCGTCGTTAGTGGCAAAGCGTCACCGTTTCAAGCCGAAATCGCAATTTCGTTTTTTCAGCTCAAAGACGTGGACCATTTAATCCCACCTCACTCCGAGAGGCTTTCGGCTTCCTTCTTTGTCTGTCGTGAAAAGTAACCTTGGAAACAGGCACGTTTCAATCAAATGCTAATTCCAAGCTCTTGTTGGCAAGTACGCCAAAAAGTCGAACATCGCGATTGTGGAGTTGCTTCAACGGGACGCCGTGTTTCAAGGCCACGAATGACAACAACAGTCGTGACCTTTGCATCGCAAAGTCATCATAGCTGTCATCGTTTCATGGACAAGCACAAGAAAGTCAAGGTCAGACCCACGTGGCGTCGGCCATCATGCAGGAAAGGGTAATGGGACATTCCCGGTCTCGGCGTGTCACAGCTTCGAGCACCCCCGGCATTCCCCCAACCCTCCTCCCTAGATTTTGTGGCCAGGTAACGGGAAGAGAAGCAGCCCCAGATGAGCTTGTTGCCATGGGGACAGTCAATGGGCTGGAGCGTGGGACTCGGGGCCAGACAAACACTCAGCGTTTAATTTTACCAACTGCTAGACAGTAGGGGAGAGACACGTGTGTGTGTGTATGGAGTGGGGGCGGTGGGGTTTGAAGTTACAAAAAGGAGAAATAGACGGCACATGAGGCCTTTTTGTGCTGAATCCAAAAGGAAATTCTGACAATGGAAATCCAAATTGCAGCGGAGAACAAATGGCCGTATCCCAGCTAACGACAATAAGCGTAATCCCAGATAATACCGAGACTACACGGTAATGAAGATGAAGCGAGGAAGCATTACATCATCGGCAGCGTCCCAGATGTGCATACTGGATCTGAAGGAGCGAGAGGGAAGCAGGGGAGGGCTGACGGAGCGGAGCGGGGGGGTGGGTGGGTGGTCTTATGCAGCATTCGGGAGCCAGAGATGATGTCATTTATTGAAGCACAAAGAGCCCAAGACGAGAGAAAAGAACTCACATGTGCTAAGGTGCTTTATTGAGATAAAGTATCTGAGGGGTGGGGGGGAAAGAACAACAAATAAATGTTTCACGAACATAAATATATATTTCTTTCCATTAACTTACATTCCTGTTGAATACTGTCCACATATTTATGTACAAAAAGAAAAAGGAAACGACTCACAGTGTTTGTTTACTGTGGTACTAACCTGTGAACCAGAGACAACTAATTTACAACCAAAGTTTGTGTTTTAGTGACGATAGCGGGTTCGGAATACTCTGGTGTTTACGGCGGATATATGGCACTGACGACAGTAAATGGCACCGGGCATTGACAGGGAAACTACAGATATGGAAACAAACATCTTCTAAGGCACTAGTTCATTTATCAAGGTGTCTCGTAGCTTCGCTCAAGCAAACTGGATGAAGTCAGGTACGAGGGCTGCAAAAAAAAAAAAAAAAAAATCGATTTGTCAAGTTTCCGCCTTAGTGCATAGAAGCAAAAAAAAAAAAGAAAAAAAAAGAGGGGATTAGGCAGCCATGCTTCCTGTTACCTGCAAGGATGTTTGCCTGGACACCGAGGTGGCCACAATGCTTATTTTGTCACCCGAACCATGAAAATGTCACGTCAGGCCTGTTCTATTTTGCAGCGCTCAATGCGGCTGCAGTTTGGAGACACACATGAAATTGTATTCTCAAGCCATCTTGCCCACCCAGAGAGACAAACGTTGCCTGCGGAGCAATTTCATATCTTCCCTACACCAACTTGTGTCCAAAGCAAATTCGAAGTCTTTCCTACCAAAAAGACCAAAAAAAAAAAACAGAGTACACGCTTGGCGGCGGCAGCCACAAAAGATGGCACTCTTTAGACTGTACAAACACTGGAGATAAACGTGAAAATATGGCCGTGAAAGATATATACCTTTTTTTTTTTTTTTAACACAAGGAGCATGTGTCTCTAGTATTTCACATTAGAAACGACATGGTTTGCACTGGCCAACATGCCACTACCACGATGGCTGCCTAATCACAGCACGACAGTCACACCCGGACTAATAAGAACATCAATTAAACTAAACGTCCACCGGACGACTACCGTTAAAGTGGCTAAGGTGTCTTTCCATTTCAAGCTACGGGACCCTGTGAGAAGCTAATCTATGCTACGACTTCATTGTCATCTAGTGTTTTCTACACACAAGCAAATATTTGGCCTCTGAGCACATATGGTCAAAGATGACAAAAGCTACCGTTTATAAACACTACTGTGCAAGGAGGAGATTGTCCGATCTCCTCCATCCCGTCTGGTAAGTGCACGTGCCACAATACTTTACATCACAGAGAGATCCTGAAATGATATCCTGACATTTGAGAAGACTAAAACAAATCTGGTCCCCAAAACCAAAATCCACGATAATCCAGCGCGGCGTGTGCATCAAAACAAAACAAAGATGAAGAATGAGTGAACCAAATGTCATCGCCCGCTTTTGCATACAAACCACGTGGTGGGCCCCCAGTTAAAACTCAGATTTGTCCGGATATCATAATCATCAAAATTATACCTGCGATGATGACAACAATCAGAGGAGAAGTGATGAACACAGCTACTGGAGCACAAGTGCCACAGACAAGCATTTAATTGACACCGCTACAGATTAGTGGACCCATTAGTAGCGGTAGTGGCGCTGCTGTGTAACTTAATACCGTACTCCGGTCTGTGTTGGCGGCCTTGTTACTGACAACCCCCCAGTGGATACACTGGCCCTGTGCCAGAGTGCAAACTGTCCAATTGTCATGTCGAGGCATGGTCAACTAAAAAGAGGGTCCAACTCAAGAGGCTAAATAGCGGACCGTGGCGGGTCCTTTCATCACATTTACAAATGGGAGACTTCACGTCTGATGGTGGAAGGGACCTGGCTTCCTTTCTCAACCTTCCTAAGCACAACAGTAGGAGAGGTCCATCCCAGAACATTAACTCAAGTTAGCAAGGCCTCAAGTTAATTGGGACGGGGGTGATTATGGCAAAAGGCAGTGCAATTAATTTGACTGATAAATGGGAGGTTAGGACCAGTAACCATCGGAAGAGCCAAGACTCATCGCAGGATGGACATCAGGTTCTGGTCGGCCATTTCATCTCAGTGTAGCGTATTCAGAGGTCACAGGTCTAAAGCGGATCGGTGTGTGCAATGTGAGAAAGCAAGGCCACCGGGGCTTCCTCACCTGACAACATTAGCGACTGGACAAAAACTGGCGGTCCAGGGAGCGCACACACATTATCACACAGCCACGAGGCTCATTCACATCATGAGCCTCTCTCAAGTGTCTTCCAGGGTGCAAAGGTATTCGAAGAAGAGAAGTCAAATGTTTTCTAATTTAGTAAAGTGGTGATCGGGACGCCAGGACCAGGGAGCTGGTCAAACGTACCACTCCCTGCGAGAGATGACCGAGCCGTCTTTGTGAGAGACGTAATCGCCCCCCGGGCCGCTATCGTAGCAGTTGTTTGGCACGTAGGGGGAGCCGTTCCTCGCAGGTTTGGGAGAGTGCGCGTATCGGGGCCTCCTGGGCTGCTGCTGTGGACTACAATACTCTGTTTGTCCCTGCTGGGGATTCTGCTGGTTGCTGTGGTGACCGCCCTCCCTCATGGCCCGCGTATAGCCGTTAGACGGGTATTCATCTCCGTTGTCGCTGCAGTGGCGCTTGAGCTCGCGGCCGCCCCACTCCTCTCTGTCGTGGTCCTGATGGCGGTGGGAGCCGCCGCCGGCTTTGGCGGCGTGGAGCTCGTGCTGATTGCCGGGGGCTTTCTGGACATCGCCGGGGCCCGGGTACTGTTTGGCGTCGTAGTCCCCGTGCAAGGTCTGCTGTTTCCGCAGGTAGTACACGCCGGCCAGACACAGCAGCAGCAGTAGGAACAAGGCCCCGCCCACTGCCCCACCCACTACGGTGCCCAGGTTACTCTCGGGTAGCGCTTCAAGAGTAGTGGAGTTGAGATGAACGTGGCGCTTATCGTCCACTAGGGTGGAGGAGGAACCAGAGAGGACAGGAGCAGTAATGGTGGAAGGCATGGTGGGAGGATCTAATAGGGAGTAGAGGGGGTGGGGGGGGGAGATGAACACACAGACAAGCACAATGTCAGTGCAACTACATTAGACTACAGCAGTGATTCCCAACCACTCTGCCATGGCACAGTGTGACGTGAGAGATCATCAGGTACAGTGGTGCGGGAAATTAGCCAATTTCACTTAATTGCTGCGAAAGGTATTATTGATTTCATGCAAAGGATAGTTTATCTGTTAGTGACACAAACAATTGACATTTCTTCAAGCAGATGGTATGACATATGGCTTCCTCCAAGTAAATCATCTTTGTGATTGTGCTCAAATGAACAGCTGCAGATTACACACAATGAGTCCATTTCTATGTAAATTGAGATGTTTTTTTTTTTTTAGTCTATACACTTTGCGATATTTTTGTTTGCTTGTGTGGAGAGATTTTCCCAAACGGAAAATATGTGCCTTGGCTCAATTGACGTTGGGAAACACTGTACTACAGGAGGGTTTGGTTGACAGAACTATTGAACACACAACTACAGTCAGAATTCTCAAGGAGTCAATGCCAATGGACAAGGTGTGGGTGAACTTGGTTTGGATTATTAAAAACCCTGTCAAGTGGGCCAGGGAGTCTTCAGTTTATCTCGACGTAAGCACACAAAGCGTAGGCGTAGCTAGCTAGCTAGCTAAATGCATGTCACAGTTGCACCAGATAACTGCTGATGCAAACCAAGCAGTCAAGTTCTTATATAACGGGAGAGGGGAGACCCGTGTCGTGGCCCAGGTGAGTCCCTGGCCACTGACCACAATCAGGACAACTGGTGAAAAACGGTTTAACACTGTACTATTGTCTTGATATACATTTTCCGCAATTATTCAAACACACATCATGTATTTCGACATAAATCTCTGAATTCACTTTACGGGGGACTTAAAAGCTTGAGATTAGATGTCATGGTTGGACATGGAGGTTATATCGTGATGACAGCTGAAAGAAGGATCTATGAAGCGCGCCAAGGTTATAAAACGCAGCGCCACAAGGCAAAAGTTTTCTTGTGTTGCTATGTTAAGACCAGAGTTTAAGAAATCTAGAAAAACTTTGGGTCACAAAGGACAACTATTCGATCCATTTCAAATTAGTGGGTGGTTTGCAGCGTTTGATAAATTGTATTTAGTCTATTAGTCATTCTAGGGATGTTTGCCTCTATCTATTCGAGGACTCTTGCACAGACTCGCATCATTATTCATAACAAAGGAAGCCACAATTATCTACTTCTCCTATCTTCTGGGGCTGCGTATTCGAGTTGACTGTTTGATGCTAGCATGAGCCGAAGACGAGCTAGCTAGTGCGTGCGGCGTCACCTGCCAATCAGGTTTGATGTTTTGAATTACATTCGAGGTTAACCATCTATCGTGTTAAAAAATACATCAGATGCATGGTGAGATTTGATTGGGTCATGTACACGGTCAAAAAGACTTACTTGTACACTTATACGGCCATTAGGAATGTTATTCAAAACAATATTTTGACAAAAACAATTTGACCGTGGAACGAATTAGGTGAATGAAATCCGAAATATTTCCAGCCTTGTGTTAAGATATCAGGTACACAAAACTAATAACTCAAACGCGATCAAGCACAACACTAAAGTTACTGAACATTCCCTTTTTAGTTCACTTGGAATTTTAATCCATGTTATGTTTATATTATGCCCTAACGGCTACTTAGTGACAGCAGCAACAAATTACATTAGTTTCAGTGCGGGAGGGCTAAAATATTTGCGGAGTGTTCTGTATTCTGGAACTGCTCTGCATTTCTAGCATATTTACAGCGTTGCTGTAACTGTTTAGACACTGAGCTCACATCCAATTCATTATCCAATTTCCTGCTAAATTCACATACGCTGAGCTAATGATTGTTGGGCTGGCAACATCAAGACACTGCCCTAACGTCTTGCAATGTTAATTAAATAAGTGTAAAATGATCGGGATGGAGGACCACAAAAACGAAAGAGTGAAGTAAAAAGAGAGAATGAGAGAGATGGAGAAACTCAAGTAATGAGAACTGTCGAGAAGCCAAAGTGGTGCCAGACAGGATCAGAGACAGATACACTTCTGATTGGATAAAGCCACAAACCCGGAGGTCTCGTCGTCTTTATGTGGATGAATGGAATACATTCAAGGGAGGTGGTCAATTCATGTGAGCCCACTGACACAGACAGACAATAAGGAGTAAAGCAAGCTCGCAACACATGTCATCGAGTGAATGCCTGCGCAGCCCCTCTCATAAGAAAATGGAATATGTATGATCAATAATATATAAGAGTTGAAAAGAACGAGTTAATGTTTTATGAAAGGGAGACATCATCCCACTCAGGCTGAAGACTTTTGCCTCTTCCCATGTGGCACAAAACACACACGCGACACATTTCAAGGCCATGCTAAGAAGAGAAAACATAAAAACGGCAGGCGGAGGACGACTTCACTAGCTACTCATAGGCCAAGAACGTGCTATATGAACATCTGGGGTGTTAATGTTTATCATCAGCAAGCAATTATGGGTCAAGTATGATAAGTGCCCATACATGCTGGTGAATGTGAATGCCCTGGGAGGCTGCCAGCAGCTGGTGCACATCGGACAGAAGTGAGGCAGAGTCACATTTCAGCTAAAAGCACAGCGTCCCACAAAAGCGATGCATTCGATGATGCGTGCGGCATGCATTGTGCATCCTCAGGCAAATGGGAGCCAGACGCGTTCCGGTGTGCGAACGCCGCGCTCACCTTGTATGAGAATGCGAACGTCCCGACTGCGGAGGTTGATGTCATTGGCAAACTCACACCTGTACACGCCCGAATCGTTCCTCTGGAGAGGACGGAGGAAAAGCAGTGTGCTGTTGAGGATTTCGACGCCTTCTGGCATCTCACCATCCAGCCTGGAACAAAGAAACAACGGGAACATTCTGATCAACATGTCGGGAGTCTCAAAGTGCCGATGCGGAACAGACTTTTCCACTAGACAAGTGAAGCAAACATCATCACTGCTCATCTACAACCTGACGCTAATCCCTCAGAACTTTGTAGAGTAATGGACACTTTTTGTGAGTTCATTTGTAAAGCTGGCGGCACGAAAGCGCCAAGTCAACAATGACGAGAACATCCCGACTATTGCATGAGCGGATTCCAGGACAGAGTGATCCATGTGACTCCGCAAGAACTCCAAAATGTTATTTCACTGGACAAAAGCATTCCATTACATCTCCATTTCACAACAACAAAATATCCAAAGAGCGCCCACAACACAAGGAACAGTTGCACATTCTGGTTTCATCAATCATGATTCAGATGGACTGCAACCACAATAAATATTTTTAATACCTATCTTAGAGCATTAATCAAATTTGAGCACCATCTTGAAAAGGCAGATTTATTTTATTTTTTTTTAATAGTTCTGGTAATTGCATCGCTTTAGACTGCACAAGTGGTGAGGCCAGTCAGCGTACGAAAATACACCCACCTGATCCATCTGAAATGATGAGCTGGCGGGTTTGCATTGGCTTTGCACATCATTTGAACACTGTCCCGGCCCACATACCAGTCTCCATCGTATCCCACCACAGAGATGTCAGGAGCAACTGTCGCAAAGAAACAAAGCTGATGAACCGATGGCAACATCACGACACGCAAGACCGAATGTTGTGGGTAAACATATGCTGAAGAAATAGGAGTCCAAATAGATGCACCTACACTGTACATTCAACTGGTAGGGGACCCTGAAGTCATTCAGCAGAGCCGGGTGGCGGACAACGCAGGCGAGCGTGTGGCCCTGGATGTGACGGGTGGGCTGCCAAAGGTAGCGCACTTGTGTTGTCGTGGTTCCGTTGACGTCGTCGAAAAGCTGCACTTCCGACTGGCCGAAAAGGTTGGACTCCCAGGACACCTCGGCGGGGGGGCGGGCCCGCTCGGCAATGCAAGTGGCCACCACGGTCTCGTTGCTCCCGTCTATTAGCGCGGTTGAGCCGGCAGACACGTAGACCTTTGGCTCCACTTACGACAACAGAGAAGAACAGGCATTCAAGTGGACGGAATCAAAACACTGTCGAGGACAGGTCACAATGAAACATTTTCTATATGGACATATGCTTTAAATGCTTACCGAGCACGCTGACAGTCGTGGAGGCTTGAGTGTTCCCGAGTGGGAATGTCGCCACTTTACAGGTGTACATGCCCATGTCCGCAAAGCCCACATTCTCCAGTACGATGGTGGCATCGTGGGACGAGGGTGAGCGGAAATACAAGCGATGGATGAACTCTGGGGAAATGGAGATGCCGTAGTGCGGGTTGTAGACGGCCACCGTGACAGAGCCGGTAGGCAAACGCCGCTCCCAAGAGCTCTGGGTGAGAGTTAGGTTGGTCGCCACATCCACCCGGCACTCTAACGTCAGGTTCTTCCCCAGCACGGCGCTCACACTGGGGGGCACCACCACCTGACTGGCCAACAACCCTGCCACAGACATACGTATGCAAAAATGAATGTCCTGAATACAGAAGCCGTTGCTAACTTACTCATCTCTACCAATGAAGTTGTCTTCAAAATCGGCCTAAAAAGAAAATAGCAACACGAAAATTTGACAGTTGCACAACCAATAAGTATTTTCCGCACTATAAGGCGCCTCGGAGTATAAGGCGCACCTTCAATGAACGGCCCATTTTAAAACTGTATTCATATATAGGGCGCACCGCATTATAAGGCGCATAGAATAGACGCTACAATCGTGGCGGCGGTTGCATTATGCATCCACCAGATGGAGCTAGGCTGAAGGGAATACAATACAGATTTATTTATACAGAGCCTTCAATACCGCTGCAGCCGCAGCAAAGCCCTTTACAGAACATTTAAATGACTATGTCCAAGGAATCCGATTATTGATCCATATATAGGGCGCATCGGATTATAAGGCGTATGGTCGGCTTTTGAGAAAATTGAATGCTTTTAGGTGCGCCCTATAGTGTGGAAAATACGGTCTGTACATTTCCAACAAACATGTATAGAAAGTGCTCAAATTGTGTTCTTTACATCCTTTCTCATTTTTTCCCCCGCAACACTGAAAGAGCTGAGCATTGACTGCGTTTAAAAATAAATAAATAAATAAAAAATCCAGTGGCCTGGGATGCAAATGTATTTTGTTTGACGCCCCCAGCCAAACAAAAGAGAAACAATATAGGTCATACTAGGACTTTTGCTCAAACTACATTGAGGAATATTTATGGAGTTGCTTCTAATGTGTCATAGCTCTTCAAGCGCAGAGCGATGAGACATTTGTGGCGATAAGACGGGATTCAAAGCATGATAGCATCACAGCGGGCGTCAAGCATTTAAACAAATAAAACACAGATGACAGTGGGAGCGCTCATTTGATGAATCTGTTTAATCTGCAGCTTCCCTCCACCCAGACGGAGCGCATGAAAGCAGTCCCTTCTCGGCACGTCCTCTTTTCGAACAAACCCGTGGTCTTTTCTGTCACAATCGTGACACCGCTCAAAAGCCGAAAGCTCATCTTTTTAAGGAAAGGCAAAAAAAGGGATACGACAAGATCCCAGTGAAGGCGGCAGAGGCGAGGGTACATGTCGATATGGCCATGACATCACCGCTCAGAGAGAGAAAGAGGAAAAAAAAAAAAGTGCAAGGAAAGACGACTGAGAGGGATGCTGTCGTCAAGATTCCAGTTAAGAGAAAACAGATGAATGACGTCACAGCTTCATGAAAGAAATTTTGAAAATGTGTCCCTAAACCTTGGACCACATCACTAATTGCAACAAACTGCCAACGCGGATAACATCACGACTAATCAGAACCTGCTGTGCTGCTCGGCAACTGAGCCCAAAACACTATTCCATTGTTGTTTTGCCAAAATCAGCTCCATCTCCGGCCAAACTCCCTCTCGAAAGACCGCGTCCTCAAATATTGGTGGACCGAATACGTGAAACGGCTATTGAGCAATTATTTTGTTGCTACTAATTGATTTTTCTTTTGCACAATAGCTGCAAGGCGCACGAAATAATGACAGGCACAGGCAGATTTTTTTTTTTTTTTTTGCCCTCTATAAAATTTATCACTACAAGGAGAGTGAAGCCATTCTGAATGAAGAGTGACAGGGTCGCGGCAATGTCGGTTCACTTAGTGGGGCTAATTACTTTGTAGTTGCCTCAAACAAGGCGTCCACAATTTCACACACTGGCACACAAAAGTGAAATTCAATACCAAGTACATCACGACACATGGCCATAGGCAATAATTCAACTGGAAACCCCTGGCACTAATCAAATTGTACATGTGCAAACATATTTTCACTTGAAGGCATAGATATCACCAATTGGCAACCATCCTGGAAAAGAATAATTATGTCAGGCTGAGACCTCAGAAGAAATATGATGCTCCTCTCACAGCACAGTCAGTCGCCACTGGATGCATCCAGAAATGCTTAAAACTTCTTGTGAATTTGTCCCAAGAGACGCATGACAGCATTTTAAGGACCCAAGCCAAAGCGATGTGATGCGATGTCTGCTGCTCGAATTAAACTTGTCAATGTTTAAAGCCGTGGCAGCAGTTTTTCCATTTTATGGAGTGGCTTTTATGAAGCACAGCTTATGTTGTATTTGTTACAACTGGCTGTTTGGGTGTTGACATTTACTGGATCAATAATTCTAAATGTACTCGAAATAACAGCGTTTTTGATGCCGTTTCACAAGCGTGTGAAGGCATTACAGGCTTAAATTATCTGCGCCATGAACAATTGACTCAGAGGGTCCACTTGTTGGATTGGAAACTACAGATATTCATATTTTTAGTCCCCAGTTTAAATATGGGACCTTTTGGTGAAAGACAAAGCTAATGTTACACGTCCTGTCATGAATTGGGTTCATTAAAATGTCTATCCTTGGGTGGTCCGCCCGTTTAATAGCATCTGTAGCTAAATGTTCAAATCGCCAAACTCGACTCCCGAGGGCCACTGCTCTGCTACTAAAAGCGTTAAACTGATTTCTCCACTTGCCGTTTCAATACAGGCAAAATAATAATGTCAGAAAACAAGGTACAAGGAAAGGAAGCAGCATTTCTCCACTTCTGAATTCGTAATGACTGAGGTATAGTGACGGTGTTCAATTTTTTATTGGTGACATGACAACCTTACATAAGCGTGTCCTCGTTTTTCTCCGACTGAGAATAAAAAGTGACGGGAATAGGGGGGCAGAGTGTATTTGATCATATATGCAGCCTCGCTTGACGTAACAGGAAGCGTGTACTTTGCGTGCATTCAGGGGCGTCTTAAAGAAGCTTCTTGGTGTGCAAATGTAACACAATCTGTCCCCTTCACACTCAGTAAAATAGGAAAAAAAAAAACAGATTATAGATATCCTAGCATCAAGGACACAGCTCTCCCCGGGGACTGTGTGAGGCTGGTTCTCACTTTAGACAATAATACCTTTACATGCACCACTTTCAGATGGGTGACAACTAACTAACACAAAGCATGCGAGTAGAAAAGCTTGAGAGATTCCCTGGATCCATACGAGAATCTTGAACTGACTCCCCCCACGCCAAAAAAAAAAGGGTTTTCCCCTTTTATGTGGTTTGATGTCAGAGACACTTTGGGTGGGATCATGCGATTCATCTCCTTTTGAACACGAATGTTCTCTATAGAGAAGGCATTGGCAGTTACTTCAAGTTAGTCCATCAAGCATGTGTAAGTGGTAGCAGGAGTATAAATATGTATGTCTTGGCAGAGGCCGGCGAGTCTCGCTTAAAGTGGGAATCAGAGCAGAAAATAGATGGTGTTAGGGTGGAGGTTGCAGCGGTGCTTGGGCAGAGCAGGACAGAGTACAGCTGAATCATCATTTGCAGTCTAGACTTATTCAACTCACAAATCAAGTTCTTGTACAAGCGGCCCGGCTTTCACAGTGGTACAAATGCGTCCGGCGCTAAGAAATCAATCAAAGCGAACCACTCTCACAAGCGTTTCTTGAAAGACGTTAAGCAGTCTTGAGGCGCTATTTCAAAAGGTCGTAGATTGAAGGGAAAAAAAAACAGTTAAAGGCACAGTTGTAAATGTTGCATATTTGCTTGATACAATTTTGCAACTTTGGCACTGAAAGGGTTAAGCCATCTGTCCATTCCTGAAAATGCGTTTGTGAGCGAGCCATTTAGCACTTCGGCCTCACTGTTGTCTAACATTCAGACTTAACAATCTAATCAGCCCAAAACACAAGTTTCTCAGCCAATTAGGGCGGAACAATTTTGGAAAATATTCTAATTGTGCCCCCCACCCCTTTCAATATTGCGATTATGATTTAATACCTGATACATTTTTTTTTTAAACAAATTATTATTTGGGTAAATCTAAACAGTTTCTCGTGCAGTAATCGATCCGTAAGTATTGTTTTCTGTTGCTGTCTTGTATTTTTTTTTGCTCATGAAATTTTCACGACAGTGTTTCTTTGGTTCTGATTAGCTGTTAGCGTGCGAATCAAAACTGAGAAGTGACAAAAACAAATAAACGGCAAAGAAAAAGAAAATTGGTCAAAGTTGGCATGTGTCACTGTTTAGCATTCCATAGTATGTTAAACAGTGACTGGCCATGGTCAGTGTTTGGCTAAGTGGTCAACGTGGGGACAGGGCAGTGTTTGTGTTAGGCGATGACACATACCACACCACTACTTAAATTGACACAAGCATAATTAACGCTTGGTGATGAAATCCGGCCTCCAGCACTATTTCAAAAGGTCGTAGATTGAAGGCGGGGAAAAAATAAAACAGTTAAAGGCACAATTGTAAATGTTGCGTATTTGCTTGATACAATTTTGCAACTTTGGCACTGAGCTATTTCAAAAGGTCGTAGATTGAAGGGAAAAAAAAACAGTTAAAGGCACAGTTGTAAATGTTGCATATTTGCTTGATACAATTTTGCAACTTTGGCACTGAAAGGGTTAAGCCATCTGTCCATTCCTGAAAATGCGGTTGTGAGCGAGCCATTTAGCACTTCGGCCTCACTGTTGTCTAACGTTCAGGCTTAACAATCTAATCAGCCCAAAACAGAAGTTTCTCAGCCAATTAGGGCGGAACAATTTTGGAAAATATTCTAATTGTGCCCCCCACCCCTTTCAATATTGCGATTATGATTTAATACCTGATACATTTTTTTTAAACAAATTATTATTTGGGTAAATCTAAACAGTTTCTCGTGCAGTAATCGATCCGTAAGTATTGTTTTCTGTTGCTGTCTTGTATTTTTTTTTGCTCATGAAATTTTCACGACAGTGTTTCTTTGGTTCTGATTAGCTGTTAGCGTGCGAATCAAAACTGAGAAGTGACAAAAACAAATAAACGGCAAAGAAAAAGAAAATTGGTCAAAGTTGGCATGTGTCACTGTTTAGCATTCCATAGTATGTTAAACAGTGACTGGCCATGGTCAGTGTTTGGCTAAGTGGTCAACGTGGGGACAGGGCAGTGTTTGTGTTAGGCGATGACACATACCACACCACTACTTAAATTGACACAAGCATAATTAACGCTTGGTGATGAAATCCTGCCTCCAGCAGATAATGCACAGGACTGTGGCGGCCTGCGTCGGCAAGAACCTGCCCACTGGTTGTCAATCTTACGAAAGCTGGGCTCACTCTTGGGCCAGCAGTTTGTGAGGCATGATGAGGGCTGGCACATTGCGCAAGACAGATTTACCCCGCAAACAAGCCCACTTCACCATAGCAAGAAATTGTAATAAAAAATCCTAATCGCTAGCCTAAGAAAAGAACACTATAAACTTTTTAAAATGCCTAACAAAAATAAATAGATAACACAAGTTATTACTTATCAGTCAGTGAAAGTTAAAAGTTAGATGCAAATCGATAGATGCACACAATGAACCATCTTGATGTCAGAGAAGTGCAATTTTAAAAAATCACCTGCAGTTCGTTCTTTGCAACCTACACCCAACTAGCACCCCCCCCCCCACCTCCTTAACGCTGCACGTTACAGAGCAAACCAGTAGCTGAATCAGTATATCTGTCATTTTCCGCACTGTCAGTTCGACATAATGTTCTGTTTTTGGATAATAAAGGGATGGAAATTTGGGTTTTTAAAAATTCTGGTTCGTCAATTATTCGAAAACAAAATTGATAGGTTAATCACTTTTAAAATAATCATTAGTGGGTGGCTTGAAAATGCAAAAATATGCAGCTCAAATCATCTTTTCTTATTCAAATGAATGGAAATTCCATTAATCCATTCTTGTTGTGAAGGGAGATGAGTTGATTGAGTTCAGTTTGTGGCCAACATGAGTTGAGCTTTTATCTACTAGTATACTCAATAATGGATATAGGTTAATTGTACTTTCCGGCATCTAGTGGAAGACGATTTAAGTTGCCTGCCACTCTACATTAGGGGTGTCAAACTCATTTTTGTAGCGGGCCACATCGAAGTGACCGTTTTCTTCAGAGGGCCATTATGACTGTGAAAGCATTTAAAGAAGTCAAGAATAATGATAATGGTTGATTCAACAATTGCTGAAGTTCCTGTAATGAGGTGTTTGGTAACAGGAAAATGCTTACAATATCTCTCTTAATGATTACATATGAGAATTTGAAATTTTGGTCCTGATTTTAGCAACCATGGTAGAAGTTGACATGTTTTATTTGCTTTCTCGGGCCACATAAAATGATGTGGTAACTAGATAACTTTCTGACCAATCAAGTCAAATTGGCTAATTTCCCAGACACACCTGATGATCTCTCACACACCGTCGTGTCCACGGGGGTTGGGATCAGTGTTCTAAATTGTGGAAACTACCTGGAAATCCGCTGAAAATATTTCTCTCTGGTTACAGATTGATCTTCCGATATGCAAATCAAGTTATTTTCAGTCTGTTGCGGGAATTAGCGTTAACGTCCCGGTACTTTTGAAAGAGGGTTGACTATACATGCCCTAGAAACACGCTGCTTTGACAGAGAATGTCCAGGCGTTAATATGGCTGCCATTGAATCAGCGGGGTGGCGATATGTACAATTTCTTTGCATCTTTTCCTCGGCCGTTCCTATGGAGTGTTACTATGGAAGCTCCGGGTCGGAGCACGATCAGATGTGGTGGTACTGGCTTGAAACACGCCGAAACGGCGATGCAAGTCAACTTGCAGCCAAGTTTTCTCTGAGCTATTCCATTGCGAGGGCAGCTGCTAAAAACGCAAGAGTCCAATAAATAATATTTTTTAAAAATTAAAAAGAAATGAAAGAAATCCTCACTTTCAGACCACGAGGGACGCGAGCTTTAATAACTTGGTAGCTGAACGTGCGCGGTAGTTAATGTCTCAACAACTTATCTTTTCAAGTGTTGGTAAAACACAACGAACAAAAATCCCACTCACCTGTCATATGAAACAAAAGGTGAAACAATGCGATCTTGCCATAGCGTCCGAGATAAGTTCGGTCAGAAAAAGACGCCATTGTTGCTTTTTTTTTTTTTTTTAAATCAAGGGGACAATTGCAACAGGACACGACAGCCGCGAACCAATTTGATGGTATGCACTGAGTGCACAGTGGAACCTCCTCAGCAACAACTCAGAGTGCATGCGGACCGTACCATCCTCCCCACATACAGCAGGGGGAATATCAACTCACCTGCCTCTGAATTGAATGGCATTTAATCGTGGGTCCAAAATTAATTTTACCCTTGGAGGAGTGAACCATTATTATTCACATTACGTCATCTCTTTTAAAAAACCAATATCAGTTGATTAATCAAGTCACTTTAATCGTTTCTGTCTCTGCACACGACGAGCTTAACCAAAATTGTCGTCAGCATTGCCGAAGGCTAAAAATATATACGTAATTTGTCTAATTCGCGCAATTGCCCGACTGTTTTCACACAATGTAAATGTGTCAATGTTTTAATTGTTTTAAACTATTTTCAGTTTAATCTGTGTTCTTTTTAAGGTATGTGCAATGTCTTATCTATATGTGAGCTATATGACCTATGTAAAGAGCAAATGAGTTTTACCATGGACAGAAAAACATGTGTCTCTCAACCTCTCTGTCCATCCATCCATCCTTTCATCCACATGCTCAGGCTTGAAAATGTCTGAATTTTAAAATTGTGAATGTCAGAGTTCTAGTTTAAATTGGATACTGTAACATTGATAGATAGATAGATAGATAGATAGATAGATAGATAGATAGATAGATAGATAGATGGGTCCCCTCTTCTGCACTCTCCTCTTTGGTTCACTCCACAGGTTTTCATTGGGGTTGAGGTCTGGCGACTGATGGCCATGGGAGGAGCTTGATTCTGAGTCTGGTGAATGGTTTCTACAATTGCCAGAATGGCTTTTCATACATCTTAACCAGGGGTGCCAATAATTAGGGAGGGCACTGTATACACATACGCTGAATATCTAGATATACTATCAATATATACACATGGGACTTATCGACTCTTTATAATTAGGTGTTGATGACGTCACATTTACATGTGGGAGGGCCCCCTTTCCCCCATTAGAGGCGTGTTGCAAGATAAGCATAGATGCAGTTAATATCATTGATAACAAGTTCCATTTACTTATTTCTTTCAGGTAGGCCTAACCCTAATATTTTACTCGCTTGGCTTCATCCATCACTAAAAATCCCCATTGCATAATTCTGCTTTCCCTACAAATTCAAGTAAAAACCAGCAAAAGTTGGTCGGCACATCGAGTATTTCAGTCTCATTAATGTCTGCATGTGGGTGGGATGGAGTGGGGGTTGGGGTACAGCGCTCCCTCCTGCTGACAGAAAGCTAACCAGGTCAGCGCTTTAATTTGAGTCTCAGTGCCAGCCTATGGGGGAACCTTTGGGGATACCAGTTAAAATGGTGGCAGAATTATTAGTCGAATTGCCGCATTAGTGCATTCCATTTTGTTGCCTTCACTGTCACAGGCCAAAGCCATTGTTTGGAGCTTTCATTCTATCACCAGCTTGTTATGTAATTGGACTTTCAACACTGTTGAATAGCCTGGCAAGTTGCAAACGAGAGCCGAAGCTTATAGATGTTGAACATGGAGGTTTTGTGCACTGTACATGTCCACATGCTGCATATTCAAACCATCCTTATGAGTCAAGAAACAGAGACTCATTTACGAAATAGAAATGTCGGGCAAACAGTGAGGGAGTAAGTTCAGGGAAAATAAAATGGCATTCTACATTTTCTTGGTCAAAGATGTGAAGGAGTTTGTGATCATGACAACAACCTTTGTCTCGGTGCCCCTGTCACCAGGTACTTCCCCCTCTCTGGAATGTTTTTCAGGCCTCCGAGTGCTCTTTCGCAGAGGCCAAGGAGGTTTTGAGAAGACTCCGCGCTCATGGCAGAGTAAAGATCGGTTCAATTAGTCCACCTCCCGCTCAGTCTCCTTTTTCTTCCATGGGTTACCACTTCCCTCCCTGTTTACGATCATAAATTGGCCTCGCAGCCTTTGTGTCCACCTAGACTAGGGGAACCAAAAAAATATTCATAAAACTCGTTGAATACTCCGTTACAGTATAAAGTTGGTATAATTGGTAGTGGCCGTTGAGGGCCCATCACATTCAAATGTATACCAACGAGGACACCTGCTGGATGTAGTAAGAACTCGTTTCTTTTTGTCTTGTTGCTCGAGATGTAACTAAACTCGACTCTTGGATTTCCACGCAAAATATTCAACCAATGACTGCATTGACTTGACCAACATCTTTACTTACAGTGCAATATGTGGGCAGCAACACAGTCTAAACCCCTGCTGACTTAAAAAAAAAAAAAAAAGTAAGACAAGAGTGATCAGATCACGACACACATCACAGCAGCACGAGGGAACTCCTGACAATTGTCATGAGTTTGAATAAAGCTTCTTGAATCCACTTCCATTTGCTCCACATGCCCTATTTGACCTCACACAATATATTTCCCTCGCGTAAACAGACACAAACAATCGTTTTTTTCTTTTTAATTTTATTCCACGAAATACATGAAAGAAAATAACTTGTTTGTGTGCATCGGATGCTGTTGTGCTATTAAATTAATGCACACAAAATTGCTCTGTTTACAACTCACTCTGCGATAACTCAAAACACACAAATCGAATGTTGATGTTCTCTAAACGCTGCACTCAAAATTACAAAGCAACCGAATTTGAATATTTTGTGCGTATCTGATGCTATTGTGCTATGTGATATTAAATTAATGCACGCAAAATTGCCCCCGTTTACAACTGACTCGGGGATGGTTCAAAACACACAAATCAAATGTTGATTTTCTCTATAAACAGTTGCACTCCAAATTGCAAGGCAACTGAATAACTGAAGAAGCTTTTTATCAGGACAATGAATGGGTAATATTAATTAATTATGCGGGGCTATTTAATTTGTTCTTGTCTCGTTGGTTCATTGTAAATTGAAAGTATAATTTGGAATGGGGTTTGAATCAGTTTGAGTGCAACTGCCTGGACATGTTTTGGTTGGGCGGCGGAATCAATGTACAGGTACATGGGACAACAGATGATAAGGCGATCAAATAATCGGTTTTTGAACAGTGCGAGAGTTTTGAGTTCTTTACAAGGCAGACTGTAAATGACCTTGAAGTAAAGCAGGAAGTAATTCAGCTATGGTGATCTTGCTACGTGACGTATTGCTAAAATTGACACATTCCAAAAAGCATATAACATCTTTGCCGTCCCTCTGAATCACTGTTTGCCATGACAAACACATTTTGTAACCATAACACATCACTCGGGGAAGGGGGGCGAGGGACATGAGTAGAACTTTACATGACTTAAAAAAAAGAAGAAAAAAAGGAAAGAATACAAAGAAATTCATGTGTTTTACAATAAAATAAGGCCAAGCTGAAAGGCAAAGTATCTACAACACAAAAAAAAAAATAAAATAAAACAACAACAATGATTTTTGTTTTTATATCCTTTGTATCTGCTTTTGACGATTCTTCAAATATTTCTTCTATGGCAAAATATTCAATTAACTGTAGAAAGATCAGACAAATTGGACATTCGTTAATATAGTTTGAGAAGATGCAACAATTTCACGTGTTCTGTTCCAAAATGGGGATTCTTAAGAATTTGTCAAGTCGGCAACGAGGTGTTCAATTCAAATTTGAAAGCTGATCGTTCATATTTAGAAGGACAATCACTTACCACATATATCCTTCTTTAAAGTCGGTGAATTTGTGCCGGACCATAAACGTTGCTAGGGCGTCTGCTACCTAGAAAGAGGCGAGAGCAACAACAATGACAACAGTCGAGTGGGTAACAAAACTCACGCTGCAAGCTCAGTTTTTTCGGGGAGCTACTTTTTCAGGAGCGTCCTCATGGACAGCATGGCCACACTGAGGGAGGACCTGCATCTGAAACTTCCCTGTGAACAAAAGTGAGATGATCAAAAAAAAAAAAAAGGGGTTGTATTTTCTTTGAGTCACGCATGTCTATTTCATCTCTTTACCTTGCATCTGTCCTATGGTCAGATCTTTGTCAAGCCTGTCCACCCCTGTATCAAGAACAAGTTTGAAATGCTCACAACAAAACATCGACTAGCGATATGATGGCGAGGTGTGTGTGTGTGTGTGTGTGATCGAACCCGCGAGCAGGAGCAGTTTGGGCACAGAGCAGGTGAGAAAAAGTGAAGACAGGCCTTTAAACCAGCCCTCCCAATACTTCTCGGTCTTTGCCAAATCGACCCGCCACGTGAACATGCTTTCCTTTTTCATCTGAAACAAATCACAGCTTTTCACATACACAAGATACGGGGACACAAAGAAATGTATGGCTTTTGTGATTTGTCAAATTTGTGACGTCTGGCCAGATTGCAGATGTAACACGCAACCTCTTGGTCATCTTCCTTCATTCTTTTCTTGTTGGACTCTTCTCCTTCTTCTTCCTCTTCCTCAATGATACCCTCACCAATGCTATTGGAGACCATTGGGCTCCCTGTGCACTCCTCACATCTGTCAAAGTCAGAGCAGCAAAAATCTGTAGGATCGAATGAAGACTTCTCATGAGCACGTGCCCAACTTGAGGACAGGACATACTTTTTCACTTGGCCTCCCATCGACACCCGTGCTGACTCGATGTTTCGGATCTGGCCACTCTTCACACTAATACGGAAATGTAGCCACGTTTTAAGCGGGCGTACACAACAAACGGACGATTCTGTAGCGGAAGATACCGACAACAGCTAACGTTGAAGCTGTGAGGTCGCTTGAGGCTTACCTCCACTCTATGGCATTTTCCAGCGATTTAAACATTTTGGGCCGACTTCTGAGGAAATTCTGCATGCTGTTCAGAGCATCCATTGCAGTGCCTGGGAGAGAAGACACACTGAGTGTTAAACAACTGACTGCATGTTAGAGATTCCAAAAGAGAATCACTCCCGAAAAAAAAAAATTAAATAAACCCCCCTTACCCTCGACAACGTCGATGACGCAAAGGCCAAGCAGCGATGGTATATGATTGGCAGCGGCGGTGTGAACCGCAATGGCCCCGCCCATGCTGTGCCCAATAATCATGATTGGCGGTGGGTTTTCTCCATAAAGAGCCTCGACCAC